CACTTTTTAGGCCTATTAATATCTCTATCAATATATAACATAATTTAATGAAAATTTATATATATATAATTTAGATTGATTGAAGTTTATTCTGAAATTTTTAGATTTTTTAGGATTTTTCTGTATTGAGATCTAGAGCTTCAAAATATCGATTTTTAAATTTATATAAGAATCACATACAAATTTGAAATTTTTATAAAATCTTAAATAACTTTCTAATAAAAATTACTAAAAATAAACTATAAAATTTTATTAGAAATTTAAAATATATTTAACTTGATAGATTCAGAAAAAATAGAAAATTCCTTATAAATAAATATTTAAAGGGGTACCCTCAAAATGACAGGGATTATTTATACTACTCTAAACTCATTGTATACTATATCTCTATATCTATTAATTTTTTTTTAATTTTTTTTTTGGATTTCTATATAGATTTAAGTTCAAATCTTTCAAAAAGATATACGGTTTTTTTTCTAACAATTGTTATTAAAAAGTTATTAAAGGTTTTATAAAAAATTCTAAATTTGTATGTGTGTCACGGGATCACCTCTGGGAGTATTCAGAAGCTTTACCGCTGAGCTAAACGCCTAAAAGACTAGGAGGTAAAACTGGAAATTCTATCTTACTCTCATATATATAGTAGGACAGGACAGAACAGAAAGGGCTTAGTGTTACCTTGTGATATACCCCCCTCCTTAAGGTATGGTCTCTATACCATCACTTACATAGGAGGTTTCAGGATTCAGGATTCTGGATTCTAATGCCTCAAGCATTCAGATAGGCAGACAGGATCTATATATGCTAGTTTCCAGACTAATGGCCTGTAAGCTATAAGTGGGCTCCCCATATAGCTCCACTTATAACTAAGGGTAGTTCTATCTAATGTTATGGGATCACTTCTGGGAGTATTCAGAAGCTTTACTGTTGAGCTAAATGCCCAAAAGATTAGGAGGTAGAATTGGAAGTTTCTACCTTACTCTTACATATATAGCAGGACAGGACAGAACAGAAAGGGCTTAGTGTCACCCCGTGACAATGTGATTCTCATATAAATTTAAAAAATCAATATTTTGAAGCTCTAGATCTCAATACAGAAAAATCCCTAAAAATCTAAAAAATTTCAGAATAAGCTTCAATCGATCTAAATTATATATATATAAATTTTTATTAAATTCTATTCATAAATAAGAAAGTTAAAAATTCCATTTTTGGTGTAAAAAGTGATCGAAAAGTGGCCCAAAGGGGGGTGGCCAGAAAGTGGGGTATCCGACTTATAGGTTGGGTAGGCAAAGTGCTTGAGGTGACCAAATCCTGAGGCTAACAATCACGACGGATACATGTCATGATCAAATCTCCGTAAATGCTTGGATGATCACATATTTTTTCACAATCATTCACTATTACATAAATAATGTAGCATTGCACCCGTCCACCTTCTCAAGAGCGCTTCTTATCTGATCCATTGTTGAAATTCAGTTTGACTCAAGATTTTATAATACACGACTGTGGTTTTATCTAATACTTATGAATTTGGGAGTGTATTTGCTCTTCTACAGAAACTCCTGAGCTAACTCATAACTGATCAGCATTGACTCGTAAATTTTTCTCCTTATTTTATCAACTAAGATGCTACAATACTGGATACTTTAGAAGAACATGGAGTGATATGGAGAGATCACAAAGCAATAATACCCGTCCATCTACCATTTTCATCATCTTAACTTACTGTCATCAACTCTCATCATCAGTCGCACTCAGCCGATTCAATTCATAGTCAATTCCATACACTCGGCCCCCTTCTCTTTCCAGACATCTATCAACCAGACATGAGCAAGACACAGCGATGAGAAGACATGATCTGTGGAGATACCCAAAGCATCTCTGGATGGCATTTATCTATCCTCCAGATTCCATTCCCTCTGCTATACAAATCCCATCCTACAACACACCCAGCATTGAGGCGCAAGAGACAATGAAATGAAGGTGTTTTGTGATGCAAAGAGATCAAGAGAGTGTTGGAAAAAGAGGGGTTAAAGAATCAGCAAACTATACTTCCAGCGTAATTAGTTTTGAAATCTTCTGTTATCTGTAAGACTGTGCTGAATATCCGATCTCTTATCATTTCCACACTCAAGAGAAATAGCTTAAACCTTTAGTGCAACTTTCAGTAAATAGAATATGTATTCCGAGCAAGTCCTCACAAAAGATACTGTTACGCAACTTTAAGAATGTACATGCCTGCGGAAGATCAAGAGCTTCAAGTCCTGGTCACTTCACATATACAAAAGTATGAAGTTTCTGCGGTATTCAACTAAGATGGAAGTTCAGCTCGTGGGAAATACTAACAAAGAAAAAGATCAAGGGATGGAGAGAAATTTTGGTAGCTGACATTGTTCATCACTTTTATGGTCCCAACATATCTAAATCTTTGATATACACTCCCTTTCTCCTGAAAGTTCTCCCAAAAGCCTTTCAGTCAACCCCTGCCTTAACAAAAACACATCCATTATCATTATCATATCATAACTCATTCCGAAATTAAACATTAGGGTCTACAACCACATCGCCCGGCCAAATAGGATAAACCTCATTAAGTTCCCCTTGCTCCGCACCATCTTGATAGATAAAGATCGTCGCACTCCTAAACCCTGCCTTCCCATCCTCATCCACAAATGCACAAAGCGTGAAATTTGACGTGGCATTCGTGACGCGACAGACTTCAACATTCGCATATGTGATAGGGTTTTGTGCCGTGATGTAATAGTCGGTGATATAGTTGGGCGATTGAGATAAGATGTAGAATCCTTCGTATGTGCTTGGGTTATTGAAAAGAAGGAAATATCGTGAGGAGACTAAGCCGGTGGATGGATTTCCATCGACATATGAGGATGCGGCGTCCTGGACAAAGGGCTTGGTGGCGGAGATGGTGGGCCAGGTATTGAGGGTTATACCTGGAGCTGTGGGTGTGGGGAAAACGGTTGAAGTCGGTGTTGGAATTGTATATGTTTGGGTTGGTGAGGGTTGAGCGGATTGTCCGGGGGGGTATACAATGGTGTCGCCTGAGTAGATGGGATATATCTCGTTCACAAATGTGGTACTGCCTCCATCAGATGCTCCAGTGATATGGAAAAACATCGTGTCTGTGGAGATTTCAGCTGCGCCAGCAGAGTTGTAAAAATTGACAACAGTAAAGTTAGAGGTAGCGCCGGAAACCTTTCCAACAATAATATCTTTGCCCGTCGTTGGCTCATAAGCTTCAACATAGTAATCGGTAATGTAATCACCGGAGGACTGAACGTAAAAACCGATATATTTGGCCTTAAAATTGAATAGAAGAGCAAGGCGTTCTGGCAAAGAGTCAATTTCATCGTAAGTCGTTACATTCCCATCTACCGCGTAGCTGCAGCATCCTTCTCCGTAGACGGTTTGTCTCCAGGCATTGAGGGTCTGCCCGAGAGCGGGTGTTGTGAGGAGTAGAATCGAGGCTGCAGAGAACAACATATTGTAATTCAACTATGAATGAATGAGTGGTGGTAAACGAAGAAAGATAAAATTTGAGTTGACAGATGATGTTTGCAATGGGTTCATCTCCTTAAATACTTGAAGAAATTTTAGGCAGCCTTGCTGCCCCTGCGCGATTAACAGCGACGCAAGTGGATTGCCCATGACAGCGAACTTCGCATATAAAAATTGAATCTGTAGAGTGGGAGGAGTAAGATGCATCGAGGTTTTTAGCCCCGCTCCTTGCCGAGTACCAGATACGAGGTAGGTCAAGGCACAATTATGATTGTAGATATGAAGCTTCTGCAACGGGGAAACGGAGTCATTCCATTGGTAAGGAAGGGACGCCGTAGGGAGTAGCCCCGGTGAACCGAAGTCTTGTGTGGTCAATCATGTAGATATTAGGTTGTAGATTGTACTCTGACCGGATGTGCACTCGGTGTAGAATAATGGCGTGGTACCTAATGGTACAGTGACCTATCGCAAGAAGTACATGTCAATTAAAAGCGCAGGATTCAGCAGAAGAACAGTAGAAAACTTGAAGAAATCTGCAAGGCACGAAATAAAAGAGGCGCAGATCATGCAGGTTCACGGCGGGGCTGACAAAGCAGGACGACTCCACCAATCACGGGAGCCCATTATTCGGAATTATATCCATTATCAGAACGACCAGCCATCCTCGCAATGCTCGCCATGTTGAGGAGTATCTCATACATACAAGAGATCTTACTGGAGATTGGGTTGCATATGGGTATGATACTACATGATTTTATGGTTATTCTCACTGCCCCGTTGTCTCCATGATTACCCGAAGCTATCGACAAAAACGGTGGGTCGAGCAACCACGAAGCTCAGGTTGATATGAGAATATCTTCGCTTTACAGCTTCCCATGGCCTTTCCTCTTGAGATGAAATTCTTCATATGTGAGTTCACTGCCATTTAGGATTGATTTTGTAACAAAACTTTGCTCCCTTTTATTCTAATATCTGTGATCGAGGAGGTAATGGTGCAACCCCTAGAGTTGCTTTTAATGCCTCATCAAAACTAAACATTAGATATTTCTTGAGAATATATCCATACATCAAGCTCTCCAGTGTATTTATTGCCTCCAATCGAAATTGGGTATTCAAAACTTGTTCTACGCTCTTTGGTACCCTTTACTTTGTCCATATCTCAAAGCCCAGCCAACATTAAATACTTCCAGCAATCTTTGGTTTCATTGTTTTCTCCTTATGCCCTAACGCCGAACGAGACATTCAATTGCCCTCAATACTTTGTTGTATTTTTGATCCTTCGCATACCCCAGATAGAGCCTAAGATGATACTGTTCTTTGAGCTCCCCAATGTATTGGCCAGACCACAGAACCAATGAACCTTTTTACGCCAGCAGCTCAATGCTGACCTATGATGCGAGACATCCAAAGAAGTGAAACCCAAACCCAAAGTATTGCCACCACAGCAGCAGTTATGATGCAACTCGATTAGAATCAGAAATCTAATCGTCTCTGCTTCGCCAACCAGTGTTACCGAGCATTTCATTGCATGTATCATTTGCAACATAATCACTCTTTCGAACTGCTCTCTCAGGAGGACTTCTCTTTCTTCCAGGCTCATGCTTCAGCAGTGTCTGAGGCCGTGGATGTAGTTTCTCTCTTGTGGCACGGTCCTTCTGATGCTGATATGTATTTCTCAACGCCGTCGTTGCATTCTTCTTGGCCCCCAAGAACGCTGCAAGCATGCATACTTCATCCATCTCTGCAGTGGAGGAGGTGTTCTCGCTGAAATCATTTCCCCTCAAGAACAAAATCCACGACTTCGTATGCTTCCAAAACGTATCGGCTGTCCATTTGTCAATCTTTTTCAAATCGTATACAGAGTGCAAATGCTTTGCCGTACCACGAAACGACGAATGTACCAAGTCTGAAAGGTAAACCAATTTGCGTTGCGCAACACATCTTTTTCGGTGCGCTGTAAACGCAGGATCGTAAATGCAGATGTCATCCAGATCGTCAAATTTGCCCACATCCTTGTAGCTAAATGCCGCTCGTATGAACGGACAAGCTCTCATCAACACTTCCTCTGATATCGAAATGTACTCTGGGAAGTCGCTTTGTGTCAAGTAAGGCTCATCAGATGTTTCGTGTTCTTTCATGATAAAAACTATCCTCTCGTTCAAAGGCAATTCAACGGGCACTTTCCTATTACTTAGCTCAAATGTCAGTTCGCATCGCATTTGATGTCAGGCACTAGCACAATGCATGATAGCAAACACACGCTGAAGTGACAAGGAATTCAAGACGCATATGTTTCTGACTTTCGACCATTGCTAGGCTTCGACCCTTATCGTCGCTTGGTTCGGAGGAGTGAGATAGAGGCTCGGGGAGGTGATTGATTACACTTTTCCTTACTATATTCTCATTGAACAAGTCAACCACTGCAGTTGTAAGTTTATTGACTGTGACACCTTCAGGGTGTGTCATTTCAGCTGATGCAGGATTATCTTTCGCAGTAAGACTCCTGATCACCGGCACTACCCCCAACTGTACATAATGTGTTGCGGAAAACTGAGTGTAATATGCTATCATGAGGGACCACTCCTTTCTTGATGACCTCCTGCATCTCTGGGAGGAGAATCTTGCACAATTCTAACACGTCCTCATCATTGGGTTTATTGTCTGACTTGTTGTTTTGTGGTTGCGATTTTGGCGCATCTCCACCTTTTGGTGTCTTCTTTGTCCACTTTTCCCGAGCCATTTTATAGTATTTGAATATTGTTGGTATAGTGAGGCAATAAACTTTCACATCCGGTCGTTGTCGAAAAGGTAGGAATCGTTGCTTGGAATTGAAAAATTAAAAAATTTCTGAGCGCGCTGTAATAGATTTTCCACGCTGATAAAGAAAGCGAGAATTCATTGGTCCCCCCTATCTCATCTGATATCTCCAAATATTATTATTCAATTCAACTCCTCAGCCTCGTCGAAACATGTTCAATCCTTGAACCATCAGTATCTTCTTTTCACTATCTACCTAGATTCCTAGGTAGCTATATGGCATCTCATAGAGCAGTGTGCGTTTTCAGTTGAAATAGACGATATAGCCAAATATTTTTCTTCGATTATTAGACTGTAAATCAATGTTTCGTAATTCTCAATCCACATGAAACACAGAAGCTACACTCACGTTCGACCACAAAAGTATCCCAAGACCTCCAAATATCGTCAAAATACCCTCGTAACAAGAATACTCGAGCATATCTCATTACTCCTTATCCCAATCCTCCTCTCCTTCTCTTCTCGTTCCCAACTTACCGTTCCCCTCCTCCCTCCAGCGCTCCCCCTCTCCCCCTTAGCCCCACCCAAGTCCCCTCCTCTTCCCAGATATATTCTTCAACACCCTCCAGGGCTTTCATCTTTTCTTTTTCACTTGCCGCTCTCCCTCATCCTTTTCCCCAATCCCAAACTCCAAAACTCAAAGACTCGGAGCTACATATCCAATTTTACGAGAAACGGATTTAGACACAAAATCTACCTTTCCCACTCCCGATTTTTTTTTTTCGAAAAAGAAAAGAGGGAGGAACAAAACAATCGATGCGCATATGAGATTCGATATGTGAAGGATGATGTTATATTCAATTCATGAATCACGTATCCATAGTTAACTAAATACCCTCTCTCTCCACCCTTCAAACTAAAACTACGCCCACGTTTTCCCTCCCAGCCGTTAACTTTTGGTATCGATCGTTCTGTGCTATACATACATGCCGATTCGTATACTGTCATATCATATCATATCATATCCTTTCGTTTCATTATTGCCCATTGCCCATTGCCCATTAACCACTTTCGTATTTTGATCTCATTTCATTTCCCCAACCTCCTTCATCATCATCATCATCATCATCATCACTGTCCAACACCCCTCACAACAAATACCTATAATCCGGACTCAAATCTCCCAACTCCGTTTTCTCATACTCTGTGAGACCCAAATCCCTCGGTCTCCTCTCCCTCTGGCGATTCTCAAACATGACCGCCATGAAATAAAGCAGACATGACATCGCGCTCAAACACAAGAATCCCAAACAGATTCCATATCCCATTCTATACTCCGGGGCATCTTTCGCAAGGAAAGCATAGGTAGCGATAATTCCTCCTATATTACCGAACCCGACTTGCCACGCCGTGCCCACGCTGCGACGATGATGACCGCCGAGATTCATGTTGAACCAACAGACTATAACCGGCATGGCAGAGTACGCACCCATAGCTACGAGGAAAAGCGCAGCGTATTGAAGTTTAGTATTATCGTGAACGGTGAGAAGGATAGCGAAACCGGTGATTGCGACGCAGATCGGCGCGACGGTGAATGCAAATCGATGACGTGTGAAATCCGATGCGAAAGCAATACACATTGCGAACGCGAATGCGCACGCCCATGGAGGTACACTGTGGAGTTGTGTTTGGATTGGGGAGTAACCGTAGGTGGAGATGATACCCGGGGCGAAAAATGCGTATCCGTAGGCTGGGATGATCATACCGAAATACATGAAGCCTCCAAGAATGACTTTGTAGTCTTTGAAGACCCTGCATGCGTCTTTGAAAGTAATTTTGCGCTCTGCTGCGCTTCTTCCTTGGTCTACTTGGAGCCGGGCTTTTACGTATGCTCTTTCGTCTGGAGTGAGCCATTTTGCATCTTCTGGGAATGAAGGAATGAGGAAGAAGAATGCTAGGGCGACAACGCAGGTAAGGACTCCTTCAATGATGAAAATCCAACGCCAACCGGAATATCCTCTCAATCCATCCATTTTCCCAATACCAGAAGCGAGAAGACCACCGAATGCTCCAGCCAATGTGGTGCTACTGAAGAAAAAGGAGTAGCGACGTTGGGCTTCAGATCGTTTATACCACATACCGATGAGGTAGAAACAACCTGGAAACATACCGGCTTCGAATAGACCGAGGAAGAAGCGGGTTGCGAGAAGACCGGAGAAATTTTGTACGAGTCCTTGACAAATACTAACGAGACCAAACAGGAACATGAGGGACGAAAGCCAAATGTTTGGATTTAGACGTTTCATGAGGATATTGGATGGAATTTCGAAGAAGACATATGGTACGAAGAAGATGGTTAAGGCAGTGTTATATTGCGTGCCGGTTAATTTCAAATCTGTTGAGAATCCGAAAGATTTGGCATTGGCAATATTAACTCTGTCCAAGAAGGCCAAAAGATACAAGATACATCTATCATAGTCAGAATGAGATTTTGGGATACATAGGAAACTTTACTTACAAAAATGGAATCACACGTAAATCGATTGTTCGCATAAGTTTTGCCTCCGTTGTATGCGGGGGACAAACCACGTGCAATTCATCGAATTCTGGTTGACCCTCCGCGGATGGAATATCTGGTACATAGCTATTATTTCCCTTGTAGGCGGCTTCTTGATCCTCCGATAATGAGGGTTGAGGGGAAGATCCCGTTTCTTCTGGATCGAGTTAGATTCATCTCGGAAAACGTAAAATTCTGGGGTTGGGCTGAGCTGAGCTGAGCTGAGATGTTGTATTATATCCTAGGTAGATCGCTTGATCAATCAGACATCCAGACAAATTTTTTGCCATCGAGTCTGTTTCTTATACTGGAGCTCTAAAGCTATTGTGATAGAATAACGATGGTGATGATATAAATGATTAGCAAAGAACAAGTCGACACTTACTATTTTTTGATCCAAATAACCCCATTGTGATACTCCTTCTTCTTGACTACCGCCGAAAGGCCAAACTCGATTGACAGGACACCTTTATATCACCCCAGAAGGCAAAATGTAAGGGTGAGAGAGATGAGTAAGAGTAAGAAGCACAAGAGAACAACCGAAAAGAAATATCAAAAGAGATGTTGAGCTGCTTTTGAATCAACCAAAACCAAGGCTTACCGTGCGTGCATACTCCGGACTCAGAATACTTTATTTAACTAGTGATTGATCGGACACCTATTGAGCTACTGCAGAAAGTGGACAAGGGATGAGGTTGTTTTCCCCGCAATTAAATTCGGAGAAACATCGAATTATTAATCGAGGCCGAGGAAGGGAAGAGTCCACCTGGTGGTCATCTTTCTTTTGATTAGTGAGGAAGGGTATCTTTGAGATTTGCCGTGTTGCCATTCACTGTTTTACTATACGGTATCCATACGCCCATACCATATGACTCGGGTAATGGTTAACGAGTGATTAGTGTCGTTTGTAGCTTGTAGATTTACCTGGGATGCCTTTTGCTTTTGTACATGTACATCAACATTTTAAATGTCTTTGATAAGCTCGCAGTAGCAGAAACCAGGGGAAACTCTCCATTGAAGCGTGAATTGAAGTTGCTGTAATTTTTGCTTCATGTCCACGTTTCCCACCGAACATTGTATAATACAAAAGGAGGACAAGTATCTAACATGGGGATCTTCCTTCGAAGTTGGAGATCCATAGTCCAAGGAATTCCTACTGGGTATCTTGACGTTGTGACTCTTGAAAACAGTGGACTGGGTGGAGAATTCTAATATTTAGAGTGTTTGCGGGGGAGCTTAGCATGTTCCCCCAAGCCGGTATCGGAGAAGTTCTTCAATTATTCTACGGAGTACAGGCTTTTCTGCATGTTTGTATTACGCAGCAAGGTGTGGAATGAGTCTGGATCTTGAGTTCGGATATATGAAAATTGGAGTCATCCATTTTTGGGTGTGAGTGAGGGTGAGGCACCGTGAGGGAGTGGGAGTGGGATGAGATATTGACATTGGTCTGAAGAAATATGGATAGGTGAGTCATCTACGGGTGTACTGTAGTCGATCCGAAGTGCTGTTGTTGAGTACGAGAGCATTACCTATGTAGGTACGTGAATATATGCCTCTTCCATTGCATCAAGGATCTTTTCAAATCTCTCTACTCGTAGCCTTGACCCCAAATTGGCGAGATTCCTACCTAGGTAATTGTTGGAGAAACCTTGTCTACACCGTAGAAGAAAGTCAAGAATTGTTCGATGCTGCTTTTGAATTGAATCTCAAGCGGAACCGATTAGACCTGGTGGACTCGGAATGTGACTCGAGAAGTAGCATGCACTATTGGAAAAGAGTCATCATATCGATACAGTATTGTGGATTCAGGAATATGAAAATCATTGAAGCAGCTCCAGTTTTGATAAAATACGGAACGGAATACTCGGATATCCCACATCACAAGTCGCACTTGCCTCATTTACAAGGCTATCAATGCTGGGTAAGGTACCTCTTCTTCTTTCGTAGCCAACCAGTCTTTGGAACAGGTGACCTATGAAATAGTCTCGAGAGGAAGCTGGGAAGGTTGAACGCGCAAACAAACGCGTCTTGGAGTGAAATTTTTCAATTCTTCTTTTTTTGTTGAGTGTATCTATCGACAACAACATATCAGAGAATGATATCTACATCTTCATTTTCTCATCTGGAAAGATAATTCAATGTTTCTGCTTTCACCCAAGTATTCCATCTTTTTCTTCATTTCATAAACCTTCTTTTTCCCACTCAACTGGTACTTAGCTTCAAATCTAGGTAGTAGCACTTTGTCATATTCTTGGTTATGATGTATCCCAAAAGCCGATGTGTTATTCCGTATCGTGGGTAGGATACCCAGGTGGGTAGGATACCCAGGTAGGTAGGGTGGTAGGTATTGACGTGTTGAATAAAAGTATCTATGCAAGTATCTACGCAAGCATCTACGCAAGTATCTTGTATATGGGTCATGAATCCATAACATACTTGTTGTGTGTACAGTTGTATGTACAGTTGTATGTACATCACGAGGATGCATATTACCCATCAGACTTGATGTCACAACCATCAATAGGATATTTGAGTAATCAATCAATCAAGGAAGCACTCAAGCAAGCAAGCAAGCAAGCAAATAATCGAACAACCCTCCAACTTTTTAGTAAGTCTTACATCTTATCAATAACCTCCTTTTCCTCGACTAAATGGTGGTGGGTGGCTTTAAAAACCTTGGTATGAGTCGTTTTGCCTCGTACTCTTATTACTTGATTTACTGATAATACTGGTAGTGTTGACCACGAGGAACCATCTCATTCAACATTGTCCCATCAGGTGATTCTTGGACAAATTTACCCCTTCATTATCAATATCGTCTACTACCAGGTAGATATTGTTTCTACTCACGCGTGGACCGAAAGGTATGTTATGTTTGTTTGAATTTATATCTTCACTCATTCTACTCCTACAGAGAGAGTACCCGTCTTATGAAGCATTTGATTCTGGGAGTCCGTCTCCGGATTAAACCTTGAAACCTTGGTTCCGAAACAATACCATACGACACAACGCAACGCAACGCAACACAACACAACACAGCACAACACAACATCAAAATCATAATCATAATCCTAATCAATTCTTAGGATATACACATACCTACCTGCACATACACATACACATACACATACACACACACACACACATCCATACACACACACACACACACATCCATCTTCAATTCCTTACCCGCCCGTTGTGAAAACTAACCGCCCACCTCATGTTATAGTATACTACCGTACACCACCAAGAAAGGGCGAATAAATCTACTATTATTAGTCCAAGAGTAGCCTTTTCTTCGATTTATTAAAACCTTGTTAAACAAGTTAAAGCAAAGACAGCAAAGACGATTTCACGACTCATTTGAAAACAGGAAAATCAAATCCTTTCTCTTCCCTCTTTCTCTTTCAACTCGAGATTCGATCCGAATCCATGAATTAATCATTCTTGGGATTAGAATCATTTGCTTTCGGTTTACCGTTCCAACGACATTGATTTCAACGGTAACGACTTTTGAAAAACAAGAGTTGGGTATCGATGAGCTTGCCTTGCCTGTACAGTCCATCAATCTATCAGTCTATCAGTCTATCGATCCATCAGTCAGTCCCTCAGTCCCTCAATCCCTCAGTCCATCAGTCCACCAGTCATTCCATCAACCCATCAATCCATCAGTCAGTTGAACAATTTTGAAGAGTGGTGGCACCGAGGCTGAGGATCGGAGGATCGGTCAAGAAAGGAAAGGGAGAAAAAGGTTTCGGGCTAAAATCACTGGGCAGTCAAAAATTGAACAACTACCACCATAACCAATTTTAGCTCCAGACTTTCGATACGGTGGTCCTTAAGAATCTCATCTCACAATTCATTCCCCCAATCTCACTTCCTCCCACATCATCTACAAAAGAATTCGAGAAATCACACAACAACATCATCCACCATCCACCACGACAACCACACATCGGCGGAAAAAAAGGCTTTCCTTTTAAATAATTATACCTGTCACCACCAAATCTCATTCGATTTCTAGTAACTATAATCAACCTTCAGCAGAAATTATTGTACGGATCCGGGAAATCTTTGGATGAACATTACACATTGACACTGATTACGGGTGGGGAAAAAGCGATTCGACATCCTCATCACCATCGATTGACCTTCACCCATACCGACTTCATAACCCATCGGTTGATACGAGGTATACACCCAATCATAATATGAGTGTTCCTCCTATATCATCTCTCGCATCGAGCGATACGGATATCGATCTCGAAACTGCATTTGAAGAGTCGCTCGGTATCGCTCGAGACGTCGTCAAGGGAGTGTTATTGAAGTCTCTCCGTATTTCATTCAAAGGTCACAATATTAGTTTCCCAGCTCAGCAAATACTTTCTGGTGATGAGACATATAATACCCTTCTTACCATGCGAGATTTAGAATCGCCCACAGGCATGATGATAGACAATAATGTTATTCAGCTTCCATATTCTGGAAATATCATTAGTTCAACTTCTCAATCGTCTGCAATGAGTGGTCAAATGAATCAAATGGCCTTCTCGCCCTTGACTGCGAGTAACCTTAACTCTCACATTCGTCCCGGAAACTCAATACAACAAGAACCATTCAATAATTCCAATTACCGACCACAATCTTCCTTTAATGTCACTCAAAGTCAAACCGAACTTCCACAACTTGCCAATTTATTACGAGCAGTGACCACAAACAACTACTCTCAACAACAAACTTACCCCTCCAGCAATAATTCGTATTCACTCTCTTCGAATCAACCTTTACGTCCTCAACTTCAACAACAAAACCCTGCAACTAAATACCCCCAAAATATGGACGATCTTTTCTCTCGATCGGATTCAGTCCTTGCCTCGCAAATCCCCGCGAATCGAAGCAACTTCCAACAGCAGATGATTGCTCGACTACAAAAAGATTCTCGAACTTTCGCAAATCAATCCTATTCAAGCTATGGCGGACAAGGCGGACAAGGTGGACAAGGCCCAATCCCTAATCTAGAAAGATCGAGTTCGAGCAGTTCAGTTTTATCCAGTTCATCTTTACCAACTTTGGCTCCAGCGCAAAAACATCCTCAAACTGAAAACCTACTTGTTGTAGAATCTCGATCGAGTACGCAAAGTCGGTCAGAAACACCCATGGACTTGGAAATGACTAAAGCTGCCAACCCAAGGAAGCGCAAGGTTCAAACGGAAGAGCAGAAGGCTGCCGCGAAGAAGGCAAGGCTATTGAAGGTTGCTGGAAAGGCTGAAAACGCTGAAAAGACAAATAAGTTGGAGGTAGTAAGTGTGCCCACTCACTCATACACATGTCGATAGATCTAACTGTTGTGTGAAGGTAAAGAAGAAAGAACTTGAGATACCAGCCGACGTTGTAATCCGCATTCTCGAATTTTGCCCTCCTATATTTCTCCGAAAAGCTCGTACCATCTGCCGCAGCTGGTGCAATTGGGTTAGAGACTTGAAATCTATCCATATAAATTGCCGCAGAGAGAACTATGGTTACAATTTGCCTGATGAAATTCCAGGGCTATCAGCAATGCAATATGTTGATCTTCTGGGAGGGAAAGGTTGCATGGAACCTGGTTGTAAGAACAAAGATGCCAGCAGAACCCACTGGGCTTGGAAAAAGAGGTGGTGTCTCAACTGCTGGAAGGGAAAGATCGAGAGAGAAGATCGTATCCAGAAACATCGACAACACAGGTATTCCCTGCCTGTCATTGACAGACTGTTGGCGTGCATTCCCGTTAGCATGTACGACTCTTTTGGTAAACCTCATGATTACGTCGAAGAAGGAGACCCTGGAGCAATTCAAACGTCGACACACAGATTATACAAATACTACTTGATTGCCGACGTCGAAAACATCATAAAGGAATATGAAGCACTCACACCCGATCCATATCGTGAGGATCCTACCCATAATGATGCGCAGAAAGCCACCGCCCGCCAGATTTGGGAAGAGAAGATGGAAAAGTTGGAAGAAGATCGTGATGCCTTCTTCGAAGCAAAGAAGGCCGAGAACGCAAAGATCATGCAGCTCGTTTTACAAATCGAAGCAGCAGTCCGTGAGAAGAGAGCAAAAGGTCGCAAGCCGAATGATGCTAATCGCGAAAGCCGGAGAATCCTGTTCCTCACATTTGCGAAGCGAGATCTCCCAGATATTCCAGAGGACTTTATCATCAACACCAAGCCATTCAAAGCAGCCGTTCGAATTTTCAGAGATGGTGGCTCAGAACGAGGTTGGAGAGCATTGAAGCCGAAGATTCAAGAAGTCTACCAGCAAGAGCAATCGAGAAAGAATGACCAACAAGCCATCGTTCCTGCAAAAGACGTACCAATTCGGGGTAATTTAGGCGAAGACTTTCAAATGACTGGGCAAGATCTCGAAAACTTTGAGCAATCTAACGATGCCCTTCGACAAATTGGCAATCAAGGTCTGCAACAAAACACACAGCAAAGTCAACTGGAAAGATATCAAATCCCTACACCAATCACTAGTAATAGGTCGTCTCTTGCAATGATTCATGCTGGTTCATTTGACTCTGGCAAGGGCGCCGTGGCTACAGCCTTACGACCATTGAACAATTCGACAATGACGTTTCCAGGTGGCCTTCCGCTCCCCAATGACTCTTTGCTCAACACTTCTCTTAACAATAACGGCTCTTCTGTCAGTTCATTGAGCAACATTTCTCACAACAATGGCTTTTCTACCAGCTCATTCGCCCGTCTCTCTGGAATCAACAATGGCTCTTTGATGGGTTCAACGAGCGTGCCTTCTCGCAGCAATAACGGTTTTCCTGCAAGCTCAATGAACTCTCTTACTCAAAATCATAATTCCATTTTATCCTCTAACCCCGCTTATGGAAACAATGGGCTTCCTGCCAGTACCATGTCAATTCTATCTCAGAACAACAATAACATGGGTTCATCGAGCACTCCTTCCCGCAATATTTCAATGACCCCACTTCCTCAAAATGGCAACAACTCTTTCATGGGTTCATCGAACAGTGGTTCATACAGCGCAAATAACAACCTCACCAATTCCATGGCCTCTCGCTCTCAAAACATGAACAATTCCTCCATGGGTCTGTTAAGTAATAATTCTCGCAATACTCAGAACAACAATGGCGATTTCATGAAAAGTGCTTCTTACAACAATAACAACTTTGCTGCCAATTCAATGGCCTCTCGGTCTCAGAACATGAATGGCGCAAATGTTAGTTCACCAGAAGACTTTTTCAAGATGAATCCTTATACAAATCCAAATCAAATGTCTCAGAGCAATAATGTCTCTTCTGTCAACCCTCCGAGCGACTTCTCTGGCCATTCTAACTACAATAATGCTATTAATTCCGGCTCTTCGAATCATCTTACTCAATGCAATAATGTTCCGTCCCTCTTGCCTCCTCCTCACTTGGGTTACCCTTCTCAAAATAATGGCGCTTCTGTCAATTCATCGAACCAAGTTTACCAGAACAACGGTACCTCGTCCAATACATCAAACCCTGGATCGTCTTCAACTTCACGAAGTGCCATGGCTATCTCCTCGATTATCACAGGGACTCAACCTCAAGGCAATTGAGCTGATTTTCTCCAAGGGACTATTAATCTTTATTCTGGACAAGCAATCCATTCTATCATGCGCGACATGTATGAATGGCACTTTGAAAAAGCACCTTGGGAAAACATTCTCATTCAATTTTTATTTCATATCACAATCTATTTTTTTTCTCTCAGTTTTCTTTTTGAAAATATTGGCGCAAAGGGAAGCGCAATACCCCTATAATGAAGAATGGCTACAATCAGGAGTTTATCATTTGCGATTATGGCAGGGGTCGGTGGATGCATATAAGGGTTATGAGGTTTCATGGATGCATACCATGTGGTGGCGTCTTAGAGGCTGGTTTATATTCAATTGATTTTTAATGACATGGTGGATTGGGCATCACAAGAAACATATACTTGGCGATGGGGCGTTTTAGCGGCATATGGATACGAGCCATTGATTTTCTCCATTGATTATCTCCGGTAACTTTTTTCCTTTCACTTGTTCATTCTTACATTTTCAGTTCTCGTTGCAGATGGTACGGGATGACACATTGAACGATTGTGAAATGGGGCTTCTCTCGGTCCAAGAAATGCTATTCAATGAGAGGAAAGAATGAAAGGATAGAAGATCAACGAGATATATCCAAAAAAAAAAATTGAGCGAGCTGAGCAATTATGCATTGATGAATGACATGGGGTGGAACGGATTGGTGGGCTTGTTTCCTGGACTTACTTATTAGCATGATACATACATATATTATACTACCAAGTACATACGTGCACAGCGAACTCTTGAGTCTCTCGGCCCTGATGAGCGTGATTTGATCTCGGATGGGCAAATGAGCAGAATCATTATTCTATCAATAATTCATCTAATTGATTACGATTCATTGTGAATTCTCCTTCAGAAACCATGTGACAATACTGTTCTTATTACTATATTCAATCTCGAACAATGGGAGTGTCGAAGTACCTAGCATTTGACAACATGTTATTTCAACATTATATCATCCAATGGGTCAAATAGTCCAAAAAATCAATGATCTACATCTGATATCAGCCTTATGTTACTCTCCCTACCATTTATAGAAAATTGATGTTGAAGCGGCCGCTAGCGGAATCAGAGCCTCGTGGATTCTGGCTCTGGATTGTGGATTGGTTACGTGGGAGTAATGATTCAAAGATCTGGCATGTGAATAGCTTTCGTAATGTAATCATGAGATTTTTCATGCCACGGATCACTAGGTAGTTTGATACATTCTCCTTTAATCTTCAATATTCAACCATAATTGTCGTTTCTATTTTGCGCCCACTTTAATTCCCAAGATTTCTGAGATAACGAGACTTTGAGAGTGGATTGTAATTGAGGTCTGGTCGGCAAGAGAGTAATGAATTAATGGGAGATTTGGATTGAGATTCATAGCGAGGGATAATATTAATGGAGGAAGAGTTAGATTTGGATTTGGGGCTGAAGGCTGCGATACGGGAGGACTCGGGATCCCGGATACAGTTACAGATGCAAACACAGCAGATGCCATCGACTATGCAGCAATCGCAATCGCACACCCAACAATCGCATGCGCAGAAATTGAGAGAGGAAGCTGCACGAAGAGGGGAGACGAGGGATACTATAATGGGGGAGAGGGCTCCGAGACTGGAAAGGAGTCCACATCCATATCACAAACGACATGAGGAGATCCCGTTTGGGAGCGAAAGGAGTGAGAGGAATCCGGTTGTTGGGAATTCGAAGGGAGAAGAATGGACTTCCCGAGTGTCTGCCTCGAAACCGCCTTCCTTTAAATCCTCTTTCAATCTCAGACCTTCTAGCTCTCGAACGAGAACATCTTCGTCAGGAGCTCTCGTCTCGCCATCACCTTTACGTTCGGCACAAAACACAGACGATGAATTTTATAATGGTGTCAGGGTAACAGTCGATGGATCGTCAAATGGGTATATCGAATTTACGAATAGCGATAGTGGGACTGAGGCAGATGATGAACATTTTCTCAAAGGTCTGCCTGCTCCGAGAATAAAACCACATAAAGGATTGAGAGGTGTAGATGGTAATATATCAAGTACGCCTAGTCCATTGTTGAGTCCGGCGATTTTGGATGATGAAATTCGTTGGAAGGAAAATGGGAGGATTAGATCTACAGTACCGACTTCGAAGATACTTACGGAAGAGGAACAGAAAAAATTGATTGAGAAGTTTAAACAGAGAAGGAAGATTGAAATTATGAGGAGAACGACTGAGGCGTGTTTATTATGTTTTGTGGGGGGTATAATATATCGGAGTCAAGGAGTTGAGGAAATACTCTATCTGTGGAAGAATGGTATGCTTAAACCTCCAGATTTTCAGAAACTATGCTGACTATGAAGAACTTGGGTGTCAAATTCTTATTATAAGTGGTTTAATAGCTTTATATCCACTTCGACTGTTACGACATCTAAGCTCGCGAACGCCATGGAATTCGCCATTCCCTCTTACTATACCTGCAACATTTGATCCTGCTCCTTTATTATATCCCCCTACAATAACAATGCTCGTTTCGATTTTGCTTTCAGTCAGTGATCCTAGTGGTCTATTACCAAGTATGATACTTGCAATATCAACGTTACCGAAGAAATTAATACCTGCTATTGGAGGTCTCGAAGGGAGAGATATGTTACATTGGGTATTGGCATGTATGCCATTATTTACGACAACATTGACCAGAGCTCCGTTCTTGAGTAGAGAGTCATTACCTCTGAATCCTGAGGTTCTGGTTTTAATACCACCACTTCATCAAGCTTTGTGTACAACGCTTTACTACCTTACAACTACTAGTCTCCTAGCAGCCGAACTACAATTGCTATCAACTGCTCTTATCAGTTTACTACTCAGAGCATCATCTCCTCAAGCGGTAATTCTCAAAGCACTTCTTTGGGGTGGTGGTATAGGGATTCTAGTTACTTGTACACATGTTCTTAGATGGGGTGTTGCATTAGCTCGAGTCCCCACCTGGAGATTTAGAAGACCTGATCCTAAATATTCGGGGCTCAGATTCAGCAGGAGGTCTTTATCATTTGGTACAAATACGTTGAGTGTTTTTGCTAAAGATAGATTCGTCAGTGATACGAGTGATGATGAACTTCATCGTCATTATTCACAGGGAAAGGGTGGAAAAGTACATTCTTCGGAATTCTCCCTCTTAGATGGAGAGATTTCAGGTATTTCGAGAAGACATACCCTACCAGGATCTAGTCCTTCAAAATTAAAAACTAGAACACCTTCGGGTCGGAAGAAAAGATCGGCGTCTATTAGTCTTCAGTCATTTTCTAAATTAACATATAAACAAGCTTCGATTCGGAAATGGGCATATGCTGTTTATGTATATATCTGTATCCTCGTTATTGTCCTACTGGGCATCAGAGAGTACGTAGGCAGAGAAGCATTGCAAGGTTATGAACCTGTGGGATGGGCACTGGGATATATGTTTGGAGATTTACCACAATTTCGATTCGAGGTTGTGAAAGCAAATTTGCAGAGATGGATTCCCTTAACTTCTCGTTCTTATTCTTCCGATGATTTGGAACTACATGAACGAGTAAAGATTTGTGCGGAAAAGGGATGGGTAGAACGTATTCGTACTCAGGATTTCGGCGCGGCGAATACACGGCTTATACTCTTGGGTTACTGGCTTCTCATTATCATTACGGGTCTCGCGATTGTGTTCCGTCTTTCGAAAATATATGAAGTGGATACGAGGAGAAAAGTTTTTCATTTCATGATGGTTTTTATTCTGTTGCCGTCGACGTTTGTGGATCCGAATTATTGTGCGTTGGCGATGGCGTTGGTGTTGGGTGTATTTTTACTGCTGGATTTACTGAGAGCGAGTCAGTTACCACCGATTAGTAGGGCGTTGGCGAAATTTTTAACGCCGTATGTGGATGGGAGGGATTTGAAGGGACCGGTGGTTGTTAGTCATATTTTTCTGGGGGTGGGATGTGCGGTGCCTTTGTGGTTGAGTTTGGGGAGTTTGTCGTCTTCTTCGTCTTCTTTTTCTTCTTCTTCTTATTCTTCGACGGGAGTGCTTGATTCTGCTTCGGGATCTGGAGTCGCTTCTGAGAGGTTTTTATCGTCTGAGTCTCTTGAAGGGGAAGTGAGTGATCCGTGGAAAGGATGGGAAATCCCGCAGAGACAGAGGGAAATTGCTATGGTGGCAGGAGTTATATGTGTAGGATTGGGTGATGCGGCGGCGAGTTTGGTGGGGAGAAGGTGGGGAAAGAGGAAATGGTATTGGGGAGGAGGAAAGAGTTTGGAGGGGAGTATGGCTTTTATGGTTGTGGTTGCGGTGGCGTTGGTAGGGGCGAAGGGGTGGGTGAGGGGGGGTGGATGGGAGATGGGGGGATTGGAGGAGGGAGCAGATGGATGGAGTGTTACGGTGGGGAAAAGTATTGTGGCGGCGGGGGTGGCGAGTTTGACCGAGGCGGTTCTCACGGGAGGGAATGATAATGTGGTTGTGCCGGTGGTGCTTTGGTGTTGTGTTAAGGGGTTGGGGATTTAGGAGGGGATTATCGATTTCAAGGATGGGAAGGGGAGGAAGGGGTAGAGAATTGGAGGTGGAAGATGAGGGTTAGAAAAAGATTTTCTTACGGTTTGGGATTCGAGTTTTGGGATTTGGGATTTGGGATTTGGGAACTGGGATTTGATATGAAGGGTTTGGGGATAGAAGGGTTTTTAAGAGAGAGAGAGAGATGCATAGAGAATAGAAGATATGAAAGGGTATGGAGAGTGGTTGTGAGAGAATCAGGGTGAATGTACAGAAGGGTATGAGAGTAGAAGAGAAGAGAAGAGAAGAGTAGAATAGAAGAATATAAAATACATGTCTAATGATATGATTTGATCCGTACGATATCCATGGATTAATTATCTAGATATATAGATACAAATGAGAAAGGGAAAATGAAAGAAAAAAGATGAAGGGTAAAATAAGAATGAGAAAGCGAGGGAAAGAGGGAGAGGGAGAGAGAGAGGAAGAGAGAGAAATACCAATATCAATATCAATATCCAACCCAACCTTCCGTGTTTATTTCCCTTATCGTTTGATATTTGGGATGTTTTTTTTGTGAAAATTGAAGGGGTGGAGAGATAGATAGGTAGATAGATAGACACACAACACCCATCTATTTTGTATCTTTTTATCTTTTTCACATGTTATATAAGATCTTCTATTTTTAATACCCGTTCTTCTTCCGCCTACCTACCTACCTACCTCAATCATCAATTATCAATTATCATTCATCATCTACTGCTCTCTCTTCTCCCGATACCTCCCTCATACCTTTTATCTCATCCCCCGCCCAAAAACAACATCCCACAAACCCGCTATACAAATTCCCAAACCACTACATCCCCACTCCTCCTCCAATCATCAATCCACTGCGTATTCCTCTCCCTCCAAATCTCCTTCATCTTCCTTCCTTTACCCGCTCCTTCTCCCTCTCCCATTCCCTCTCCCTCTCCCATTCCCTCCGAACCCCCCTCAAAAAAACTCCCTAACAACCTTCTCCACCCCCTCAAACCCCACTATATATCTGGGCCACAATTTCTTCCCATCCCCCTCCCCCTCCCCATCCACCAGCATCTCCTCCCTCAAAAACCTCCGCGGATCATCATAAAACCTATCCGCCTCATCTCTATACCCCTCTCTCTCGCCAACCTCCAAATGCACGGGGGGTTCGCACCCTAGCGCCCAGGCTCCCAATCCCTCATACACCAATTGACTTCGCCACGGGGTACTATGACAGGGCATCAGGAATCCCACGAACGGTTTCGCTTGGTCTGCTGTTCCTCCCTCCCAATCTGGGTTTGTGGATGTCCCCATCATTTTTTGGGCATATTGGGAGTTTTCTTCTTTTTTGATGTCGTAGTTGATGTTGAGTGAAGGAGGCGCGTTTTCGTCGAATGAAGCGGGGTAGTGTTTTAGATATGTGTATGCATCTGGAGAATGCAGAGGGATTCCTTGAGCATCTAGCATTTCTGTTTCGTATTTGTGGCGGATGAATGTAGTTACTGATATCACGGCGGATTGATGGATTTTTGTTGTGTAAGCTGCCAAGGCTATATTGAGGAGAATGAGGATAGTCAAAAGAGGTTTGCGGATTGTGTTAGTTTCGATTTTCGATTTCGAGGGATCGCTTGTGGGGATTTGAGTTTCGCGTGTGAAGAAAGATGTAATTGATGGTGCAGTTAGAAGGAGAAGAATAGGTAGAAGTGGGTAAATGAATCGAACTTCTTTGTGAGAGATTGTGCTTAAGACGAAGATCATCACACCAGTGATTTGTGTTAGAATTGTTTGGAGGTTGGAGGTGAATTCTGGATTTGGTATTGTAGATGGTGTGTAGGTTTTGAAAATCGACAGAATCGTGAATGGAAGATAAGTGAGTAGCAAAAGTGGTAGACCTTGGGAGAAAAAATAATGCCAATCATTCTTGCCGTAAAATACGGCTAGATTCTGAGAGATATTGAAATGAAGCCATTGATATGGTGGAAATGTCCATTCTCCAAAGTAGAGACGATCGGAAATAGCTGAGATGATGAGGATGATCGGACCACATAAGATGGCTTCTCTAAGGAGAATAATGTAATCTTGTGGGATGGGTGATTTAGATGTTTTTGGAGATACTCCAGGTATGAGGGACATGATGATTGGCATTATGACACAAAACCATATTAAAAGATTGGTTGGTCTAAGAATGCAAGCAATACCTGCAAGAAGAAGGGAGTATCGAAGACTATTGTAGTTAGATGATGAATCTCAAATACAGAACTCCTGAAATCTTACTGGTTCACGGATTCCGTCGTTTGGAAAACACCTCTAGATATAGACGTGGTTGATGCATCTTTCGTTCCCTCTTTAATTTTCTCTCCAGAATTAATTGCCATATCCCAAGGCCAAAAATACAAAGCAGTAATTGTTAGACTAGTTTCCAAAGAATTTGAAAAAGTTCTTGTTGAACAAAACCAATTCCAAGGACTTAATACACTCATGAGAAGCTGAGCAAAATTAGTTTTCGATTCCTCTAAATAATCAAGACATAAACATACAGTAACATAACCAGTTCTACTACCCAATCCATACATTTTCTCTGCCATTTTCCAAGTATAATAGTCACAAGCTGCGGCAAATATAGCTTGAATAATATTTGGTAATACAGCTAAAACTTCAGCTCTAAATTGAGGAAAGAAATTCACAAATTCCATAGGTTTATCTATTAAATAATATGCAGCTGCAAAAAGAGTTGGATGTAATGAAGATCGTAATTGATAATGCCATTCCTATTTAATCTAATTAGTATCTATTATTCGAGCGCAGCGAGCTATGGGGGTTTGGGGGCTTGCCCCCATAAAGGAGAAATAGTCAATTGATTTAAACTGGTATTATATGGAATGAGATGAACAAAGGTATGTATATGACGCTCCGCTGGCCCTCCCGGGGGGCCACTGCCGTGGAGGCCGAATATTTGGAAATAGTATATCAAGAAACAACAACAGAGAAACTTTTCTCAATGTATTGCCCCTCGCTCCCTCCCCCCTTTCACCAGTAAAATCACTACCGTAGTCTCTATTCCTCTCTCCTCTCCATCCTCTGTAAACCGTTTCCACTTCCCTCGCCCACAAAACTTAAAGAGAATCAAAACACTAAAAATGTCAAAAGATTACATACCCAAGTAATCCAAGCACCACTCCCCTCTCCAAAAGCCAATTCCCAAGCCGGTTCTAAAGCTTGAAAATATTCATCGGGTTGAAAGAAAGTTTTGACAAGAAAAGAATTGAAAATTCTAAATACTAGAAGGAATGTCCAAATATCTTTTGCGGTTTGAATGTTTACTAGAGCGTGAAGACCATTTTCTTGAATATCTGAATTTGAGAGGTTGTGGGTGAGGTGATGAGGAGGAGGTGATGGTATTGTAGGTGGTGAAGAAGATTTTACCTCTTTGGTAGAGGACGGGATTGGATTGGACATGACGATGAGTTGTTCATGAGGATGAGATGGGATAAGAAGAGAGGAAAAGAATGTTAGGAGGAAGAAAAATTTGGGATATCCAATGTATGTGATCTGTACAATTGGAGGACATATAAATTATTTCTACGATAGTCCTGGTGCGTGATGTAATTTCCTAAGAAGCTGCCCACGTGTTTGTGTGGTGGGAGTGGTTGCCGGTATTTAGCCGACCGAACATTGAAGACTTGATGTGTTGATGCCTTGATGTGTTGATGCCTTGATGTGTTGGTGCCTGAATGCCTGAATGCCTTGTCATATTTTCATCACACGAGCACTCCAAGAATGCAAGAATGATATCTATCGAGTCTATCCACGGATGTTCTCGATGTTTTCTACTATGCGGGGATGCCCATTTTCACCAACCAGTTATTTGAATTACCAAATCTCATGTCTAGCAATCAATTGAATCTTCTGTATCGCTATCATTATCTCTTGGCTTTGGACAAACCATGGTTTATTGAAACCCTTGTTTTTGTATGTACTACACTCCATCTCATATATGTATGTCCCGACGTTGATAGTATATACTCTAACACATCATTCAGATCATATCTCGAGCATATCTAACCTCTCATACTCACTCACTCAATCACTCAATCATTCTAAACCGTCTCTGTTAGAAAAGAAATGTTTCCTTCCCTTCCAAAGAGAAGCTTCCTTGGAAGACAAGTTCCTCGATTCCAAAACCCATTTCATCCAATCAAATTCGGAACGATTATGCTTAGAATATCAAAGCCCCAATGATAGGATCCAAATGAATCTTGGACCCTCTCAATCCTCTTTTCACCCCCGAACGACTAGGTACATGCAGAAACTTAGACTATGCGTATCCACTAAAGTACACCCTAAATCATCATCTCCGCCTCACTCGAACCCTATAAGCAAGGGGTGACGAGGGACGGAAAGCAACGGATGTGTTTTGGAATCTTTTGTTCCCCTAAGTGCAGGTATAAGCAGGATGGACAGGAAACGCGAGTAAAATGGTAGAATGGTCTTGATTTGGGAAATTTCTGTTAGTCAATGGAGAGATCAGCTGGGTGGGAAGATGGGATATACTTGCACTTAGGGGTTTAGTGAGTTTTGGATGATGAAGGAAGAGAAGTAGATAAATATGATTTTCTCCCGGTCTACTCGAGTATATAAAGAGGCTTGAATCCCTTGCTTTGGCTTGACTTGACTTGGCTTGACTCGACTTGTTCTATCTACCATTGATACTTTTGATATCGACATTTTACATACAATTTATTAACAAAGCGAACATTATACCATAAATACAAAGTAAGTAATAAATATTGTACTAAATCGTGACTTAATCCTTATTAGTTTAATCCTTGGGTGTACTTTTATGTACAAGCAAGCAATCTTCCCTTTCAAACCTTCATCCCACTTCATCCCACTTCCTCCTACACTTCCTATCAATCATTACAACAACTACAACCACAACACAACATCTTACAATTATTTACAATTACATATCAAAATTCGATTTCATCTCACAATTTCAATTTCTAACATAATCTCAAAATAATAGTAACAATCCACAAAGCACAACCCCCAAAAACATTCATCACAAATCACATTCCCATCAACCATGGCTCCCCACGCAGACACCCTGTCCACCACCAACGGTACCGGTAGCACACTCAAAGCCACCGCCCCCACCTTCTCCCCCGTAACCAGCATCCCCGAATCCAAATACCATTCCACCTCCACCGCCTCCGCCATCCACGACGAACACGCCTACGCAGCCCACAACTACCATCCCCTCCCCGTCGTCTTTGCCCGCGCCTCTGGATCCTCCGTCTGGGACCCCGAAGGAAACCACTACATCGATTGTCTCTCTGCCTACTCCGCTGTCAACCAAGGCCATTGTCATCCGGAGCTCGTGGCGGCTCTGTGTGCGCAAGCTCAACGTCTAACGCTTTCCTCAAGAGCATTCCATAATGACGTTTTCCCTAAGTGGGCGGAGAAGATTAAGCAAGTGTTTGGTTATGATATGGTTTTGCCAATGAATACGGGAGCTGAGGCGGTAGAGACGGCGATCAAGATTGCGAGGAAGTGGGCGTACAAGGTTAAGGGCGTTGAGAAGGATAAGGCCCTCATTTTTGCAGCGGCGGAGAACTTTCATGGAAGAACGGTATGTTGCATTAATCTTTTCTCGTTATTTCATATCCCTCTAGTCTGCCTCCACGGCAGTGGCCCCCGGAGGGCCAGCGGAGCGTCATCTACAACTTCTTCATGGGGGCAAGCCCCCAAACCCCCATAGCTCGCTGCGCTCGAATTGTTTCTATTGCATGATACTAATACCATATTTACATTATAGATGACCGCCATTTCCATGTCCGTCGATCCTGAGTCTCGCGATAACTATGGCCCATATGTTCCAGGTGTCGGTGCTGAATGCCCAACTACCAAGAGACAAATTAGATTCAACAATGTATCTGATCTTGAAATTGTTCTCGAAGCCCACGGAAAGAATACTGCTGCCTTTATCGTCGAACCAATTCAAGGAGAAGCTGGTGTTGTTGTCCCAGATGATGATTATCTTGCAAAGGTTCATGCTCTTTGCAAGAAACACAATGTCCTCTTGATCTGTGACGAGATCCAAACTGGTATTGGTAGAACTGGACGTATGCTTTGCTCAGAATGGTCTGGTATTAAACCAGATATGGTTACACTCGGAAAGGCCATCTCTGGTGGAATGTACCCAGTCTCTTGCGTCTTGAGTTCAAAGGAAGTTATGCTCACTGTTGAACCTGGTACTCACGGTTCTACATATGGAGGTAATCCATTAGGTTGTGCAGTTTCTATTCGTGCTTTGGAAATCATGGAAGAAGAAAAATTGACTGAGAGAGCTGAAAAGTTGGGTCATGTCTTAAGAAAGGGATTGGAAGATTTCAACAGTCCCATAATTAAGTTGGTTAGAGGAAAGGGTTTGTTAAACGCAATTGTCATTGATGAGTCAAAGACTGGTAGTCACAGTGCTTGGGATTTGTGTATGTTGATGAAGAGCAAGGGTTTACTTGTAAGTTTTTTCTTTTCTACTTCATGATGGAAAACTACTTGAGATGAATACGGCTAACAATCCATAGGCCAAACCAACCCACGAGAACATTATTCGTCTTGCACCACCTCTTGTCATCAGCGAGGAAGATATTCAAAAGGCTCTCGCCATCATCAAGGAATCTATTGATGAACTACCAAACCTCAAGGGTGAGAAAGAAGATACCGTTATTCCTGCAGGCGAGAAGAATGTTCACATCCCATTGGAAAATTAAAAAAAAAACTCCAATTCTCATTCAGTACACGCATTTTCTTTTTAAAAAATGGTGTTTTATTTCGTTCTTCGGAGAAGGGTTTTTACAAAAGCTTTTTGGGTATCTACTGTTTTTACTTTTTCTTTTCTCATTACAAAGATGTTTTACGATCTAAACTGGCATCGGCGAACGGGAGGGAAAAATGATACATAAACATGACGTTTTGCGAGACTCCTCTTTCATGAGTTGCAATTATACCAGGAGTTTTTTGGGGGTATCTACTGTTTTGGGCGATCAAAACATGACGTTTTGCTTGACTCTAAGTCGCAATTATACCTAAAAGCATTGGGAAGAAGGAGTTTTGATTTTGGGGGTATCTACTGTTTTTTTGTGGCAATTGACTTGAAGATTGAGCATTGAAGTTCTTTGATACAATGAAATGCAATGCAATATCGGGAAAAGCGATTGGGTGGAAAACATGACGGTTTGCTTGACGTTACGCAACTATAAAGTTGGAGTCGCAATTATACCTAGAAGGCAAAGATGCTTGGGAGGGGTTTTCTGGTGGGGGTATCTATCTAATGTTTCTTGATTTCTCTACTTCCTACTTTACTTTGGACGATGAAGAAGGAAGGAAACAATGGATGGATGGAAACATTACGTTTCTGCTGGATGCAACGCACCTTGTTTTTCTTGTTCTTCTTGTTATTCTTGAGATCCTTGAGATGGGGTGGGTTGTGAGCAAGTATACCGTGCCGACCTACCTACCTACCTACCTGGGTGAGGGAGATCTTTGGGAGAGAAGGGAGGAAGAGAGGTTGCATATATGGTATTTGGTATTGAGATATTAGGATTAGGATATTAGGATAGTATGGCGTAGCATAGTATAGTATATCGAAGCATACGATATCCGATTACCTCGACATGAGAATGAGTATCAAGTCTATGATCAGATGTGAGATGTGTGATATGTCATACGTGATGTGAGCCATGTGATGTGAGATGTGTGGTTTGTAGTGTGTATGTGTATATGTGATATTCATACCTACTATATTCATACCTACCCGCTTACGCATTATTATCTACTTTCCAACGGCGTACGTACATACATATATAAATATTTATATTTATATATTATATTGTTCATCTTATGTACATATCATGGGTGAGCAGCGCTCGATGCGGTGATTGATGAATGAATGGATGAATGGATGAGTGGATGAATCACCAAGAAGGGAAAGGAGAAGAAAAGGAAACCGGTGATTAGTAATTTACTCAAACACACTCACTCACTCACTCACGAATAGTTCAACATACCTAAGTAGTTACGGATCACTCATATTGTGATTGATACATCTTTATCATACTATCCTACCCTGTCCTATTCCATCCCATCCCATCCTATTCCTGTCCCAATCTCCGAAATCCAATATCCTAAATCCTGATCATTCTTAACTGCCTACTCACTTGCTAGTTGACCAACTTCCTGACTTCTTATCCACAACCTCCGCTTCCGCTTCCGCATTTCATAACATGATATGAAGATATCTTCTCAGATACAACGATACAAATCAATGCAATCCATGCACGCACGCACGCATATCCGATGATCCCCTTTCCTCATCCTCTTAAACACAACCAACCAAACTTCAAAAAAATCCCTCAACAACCTCCCAAACCACCAATCCAATCCAACAAGTAAAATCAAAGTCCCAACTAAACACCAAATCCAAATAAATCCCTGGGTGTATCGCGCCAATAAGAGAGGAGAGGGAGTGTCCGATTCAATCCATCCATTCATTTGCGTGTGCGTGTCTGTTTCTATCAAACACCTTCAATCCATCCATCCTCCTTCCCAACCTAACCCCATTGAATATTGCAAAAATTTGAAAAGAAATAGAAAAGAAAACGCTGAGCAGTTTGTGTATTCGGAAGCTCTCAATAACTGAAAATGACGATACTAGTATGAAGTAAAAAAAAAAACGCCAATCTTAACCATTCCAACCCTCCATCATAATCATCAGTAGGTTGTGAGACGAAGTGAACGTCGTATGTACCTGCTTTCAAATGAAATCCCCATATGAATCAAGGATCCAAGTACTCCAGTCCAAAGGAAAGGAAAGAACAACCTAATCCACATAAAAACAAAGAAATTCCAAAGATTTCTAAAAACTCATACAAAAAAATCAGCCTGAAATGAATGAGAAAAAAGATAGAAAGATGTTAAACTCGAATGACGCCCAAACTATGCATTTGCGTTTACGTCCATGTTATCATAATGCATTTGACTAATCGAAAGACCAGCTTTCTTGCTTGTCTGTATATGGTTCATTTCGGTGGAGTATTATTCATGGTAGGAGTAGTTCCTCCACTATAACTTCGACGTGGAGATGATGGAGGTGGCATTGATTGATGTTTAGCAATAACTGTCATCTTCTTCTTGAGGACTTGAAGACGGGTCCGAATCATTTGAAGTACTAGTTTCTAGTTAGCATTTCAGTTACAAATATAACCTTTCACAAAACCAAGAATTATGTTTACCTTTCAAGACATCTTTTCTATCACCGAAATTGATACCATTAACTTCTCCCCCTTCAGATTTCTCCTTATCTTCCCGTAGACTTGATGATCTCTTTCGAGGAATAAGTTCTTCATCATTTTCAAGAACTGCCTCGAGCATTCTAATGGCAGTTGTGTATGAAATTTCACAACCAGGGAGATCTTCATTTGCCAATTCATTGATAGCTGCTGTACGACTCATTTCTAGAGCACGGTCGTACATCAATTTTTCAGCAGTTATACCAGAGCTCAATACAACACCATCAGTGGTTGAAGATCCACCAACCAATCTTGAAGCTGTTGAACGATTGTTTGGGTGCCCTGGATGATCTTCAGGAAGTCGTTTTTGAGCCTCGATCAATTTAAGTCGAACAAGTTCTGCTTTCTCCAAGACTTCATTAAATCGAGTTCGGACCCACTGAACTGCACCGTTAATACGGTTTCCTGCTTGAGCTGCTGAAGATGAATCACTTCCTGGAGTGTGACCTCCACTAGTGATTCCACCACGCTGCTTTCGTGACCACCAAGCTCCTGCGATATCCATAGATTTTGAAAGAAGTGATAATGACTTGACATATAATACAAGTGCTTCTTCGGATAAATTGACAATAGCCTCCACGGTAAGACCATCATCTTCATCCATAGCATCACCCATTCTTTCGGGATTTGGACCTCCTAGGCCATGATTCATAGAAGGTGCTAAAGGGATAAGTTGTCGATATTTGACTTCAGCAAATCCATAAACAACATCACTTCGAGTTGCAGAATCCTCAATAATATTGACAACTCTTTGATCCTCATCAATAGGTCGCCCGTCTCCAATCAACCCAGCGTTAGGTGTAGGATAAGTGGGATAAGGATTGTATAATTGTTGTGGAGATGGACCCTTTCCAATGAGAGTTGGAGACCAAGAAACTCCAAATACTCTCACACTTGCGCCTTGAAGTGCTTTAGCTATAGCTGAAGCAGTTGATGGACTACTACCAGTTTTACCATAAGAACCATATGAATTTCTCGCGGATGATGTATCTGGTTGGGTTCTTCCTGATGCTTTTTGAACTGTGCGCGAAGGCGGTACAGCTACAGCTCCTGTTGTTGAATTTGGTTCTCCCATTGATGTATGCCTTCTAGGTAATTGTTTAGGCGTTGAATTAGCATGTCCAAGTCTTGGATTTGCAGCCATCTCATCAGCAAAAGCATTGACTTCAACAGCTTTCTTCTCAACTAGAACATATTCTCTAGCATCACGAACATCTTGCTCGGCTTCAGTTATGGAATTACTCGATTGAATCTCGGTTTTGGTTTGCAAATTTGCTTGCTCATCGTAACGTTGTTTCCTGGACCCAGTTCTTACAATTGGAGCATAATTTGGTTCCGTGCGATCCTTGCGGTCTCTTTGTCTGGGTAAGGTATCCACATTTGGAGCAGTTGCAGCAGAAATTGGAGGAGGTCGATCTCTCGACCCAGGACGTCCAGCGTTGTGACCTGGTGTCCCAAAATGTTGATTGGATTCTATATTAGGACTTCTTGGAGATTGCTCCCCAATATCTCTCGTAATTAATGATTCATATGCCGTATCAATGTGCTTGACAGTTGGACTTTCACGTTGACGATCTCTCAAAGATGGCTGACGGACAATTGAAGTTTCCGGAGATTTTTCTTTTGGTCGATCATCTCCAACCAGGCCAGGAATTGGTTCGGTCACAACTGGGTGAGCAAAGTATTCTGGAAAGGTTATTCGATCTTCCGGCTTCTTTTTGAGGAGACGTCGCACAATATCCTTCAAGTCTCTGCTATAGATACCCCTACTAGGGAATCTAATTTCGTCTTGATTTTTCTCAATTTTTTGTAACAATTGAACATGATTTATTGCTTTGAAAGGGGGTCTTCCTGTCATCATTTCATAAAGAACCGTTCCAATAGACCAGAGATCAGCTCGCGCATCATACTTCTCGTAACGCAAAATTTCGGGTGCCATGTAAAGGGGTGAACCGCATAAAGTCTCTGCAAGCGAAGTAGATGGTAACGATCGAGCAAAACCGAAATCGGCCAATTTAAGCATCGGTAGTGAATTGATTCCAACCATGGCCACAACGGATTCCTTGCTCGCTTTCATAGCTTCTGGTCCACCCTTCGCTCTCTTCGCTATCCATTCCGGTGATGGGATGAGAAGTAAGTTTTGTGGTTTAACGTCCCTATGTACGAAGTCCCGTTCCCTTAAGAATTCCATAGCACTTGACAATTGTTTGAAAAAATGTCGAACTACAACTTGGTTGAGTCCGCCTTCAACTGGCATAGGATATTTCTTAACCATATCAAAAAGCGTAGGGTTATCGGCCAGTCTATCCCTCTTCTTAATGAAATACGACAAGTCCCCCAATTCACAATATTCCATCATCAGATGTATATGCGAAGCAGACTCTCTGCAATCTATCAGGGCAACGATGTGAGGATGGTAAAGGCTTTTTAATATTTCGATTTCGACATATAGGTTATCTTTGAGTTTCTTATTCAGTCTGGATAGGTTTACGGACTTTATCGCCACGAGATTCCCACTGGGCTGTGATAAGACGCGTTAGCATTAGAAGTATCAGAGAATATGAGACAGGAATTGTAGAGATCTAGGTCCAGAAAGCTCTCAAGAATCATCATAAACAGTAGATAAGATGACAAGGCTGCCATCTACTCAATTACATACCATATGTGTACCCCGATAGACCGTGGCAAAGCTCCCTTTACCAATTTGCTCATTGATAGTAAAAGATCCCACGCCTGTCTTCTGTCGCCTTGGCGACAAGGATGAAGTTGAAGTAGTTGTTGAAGCCATAACTGCGATTGTTCATCCAGGAAGGTATAATATCCTTCTCAGTTTCTTAAAAGATCCTCCCCTCGACTCAACAACTCGAAAGAGGCAATATCCTTGATGAAATAATCGTCTGCATCGACACACTTATTGTCGCTTTGATAAGATGAAAAGATGAATGAAGTTGTATGTCGAGAAGATTTAGAATGAGGAGGTTGTACGACGATGAAATATGTTAGGTAACAGTATCGAAGTTGAGCTTGCTGATATGCGCGCCCTCGGTAGTTTTGGCAAGCCTTTCAGGAAATGGCCAAGGTCTCTCTTAAGGTCTTCGGCAGAAAGACAGAAGGCAGAAGGTAGAAAGGTATATGCGGCTCGTGTGTTGTACGATATTGATGGCGGAGAGAGATTATTGGAACCCGGTTGGCTGGTTATTGTCGAGGTTCAGGATAACGAAAGGCTGTTTGTAGACAATCTGCCGAGTTCAAGTTAATGATTCGATAAAAGCCGTTTAATGTTGAAGTGAAGTATCACGATTGAAAGTAGGAAGTTAGATTGAAGAAAGGGTGTATAGGAGGTATTTTTGAGAATGAATTTGTATGTCGAGGGAGAGTTAAGAGTTAAGAGTTAAGATGTATGATATTGATGATTGTGTAAGGATGAGTAGGTATGGCGAATGGAGTGTGAATAGATAGGTAGTAGGTAGTACGGTAGAAGTACCTAGTGAGTCAGTACTAGGTAGGGAGGTAGGTAGGTAATAAAAAGATTTGTATGTAGAGAGAAGAAAGAGATAAATAGACAGTGAAGAAAGATTTATAATCTGATGAGTCTTATTATTCTTTTTTTTTCTTGTTGTCGTTTGAAAAGGACTCCAAATCAGTCAGATAGTCAGATAGTCAGTCAGTCCGTCAGTCATTCATTCTCTTTGGTTTGAATGAATCGTACTCGTGATATCGAAATCCAAAAGGTCTTATCATGGATTATCATTCATTATCTATTGGCGCTATACCACTTTGGATCGAAGTTATGACGCTAATACACTTCACTCTGAAGAAGGCAGTTTGGAGTGAAGTCAGGGAGTGAAGTCTGGTACCGTGAGTGAAGGAAGAAGAAAAGAAGGAGGAGAAGCACGAAGCTTATTGATATTGTGAGTACTAATACATACCTCCCTACTAGATAGATACTTCACATTATCAGCCATTGTATTTTAAATCAAATCCTTACGCCATTCAATCCGGATCACGAGAGAAGACGAGGACGATCAATCTCTTCCTCAATCTTGTGGGTTAAATCATTCAAATTCATCTTTATGCGTGACAATCACCCTCATCGTCGATAGTTCTTATATACATCTACAGTATACATATATACATCATATTCATACATCAACCCTTGATTCTCACTGTCCATCTCATTCCCAACAAATCCTCAATCCTCAGTATGATCTATCTCATCTTCATCGCCCCATTCATTTCCATTGCCCCATCGCATCTCCTTCATTCATGCAACATTGATCACATGCGTTTGTCCTTTTCCCTTTTGGCCCTGGTTGGTTGGACCCTTAAATAAACATCTCCCTTTGAAAGGTAAAAGAGAAGGGCCACAACCAACCAGCCAACCAGCCAACCAGCCAGCCACGTTCCCTTTCAAGGATTTCCCCACAGAACGCCCTTTGCCTTTGCCTTTGATCGGTCGGTCGGTCACATAACTAGTACTTCGTATAGGAGCGAGTACCGGTATTCTTCTCTACCGTATCGAGCGTATCTCCATATAGAGTATTCGAAGTCGGAGTACAATTTAACATTCACCGACAACCTTATCGCCGATATCGCACAACTTCATAGGTTGGTGGTCTCGGTTGTCTCTGGTCTCTCTCTGGTGGTCAATCATTTTCATTTTTATTTTCATTCCATCAATCACCTGATCATCTGAACTCATCAACGCAACGGAACACAACACAACACGACATGCACCAATATCAATATCAAAATGAAAATCACATCCTTTCACATATCATTAACTAAAACGCAAGAAGATTCCTGGTGCTTTGAATACTCTACTCAACTTGAGAAATCATTCATTCTCTTCACAAACGATTGAAAGAGGACAACCCAATGTTCCAACAATGCTAAACAAAGACCCAAAGGAATCCCTGGCATGGGGTACATATCGCTGCATGCATACACTTTTTACACCTGGACAAAATGTACCTAGTGTATCATGGATAGATGAAAACTTGGAAAGTCTCAAGTATCCAATAACATCATAAGACTTGAACCTTGAAGCGATCAAGAATCTTTTGCTTTATTGATGATGATGATGATGATGATGATGATGGCATGCTTCAAATCATTACCATGAAAGCAAATATGGGTTGCGCTGGCAACCTGGACTTGTCTTTTTCCATCTTCTCGGAATATTTCTTTTCATTTGATTTGATTTATTTGATTTCTTTTGTTTCAAAAGATCTCGACTACTATGATATGTATCATACATAGGTACATCTTACCCCTCATATTAAACCACATGTATCAAAGGAAGCGAGTGTTTCCAATCCCGCGCACACACGCGATCATCGAGGCTTAAGTGTACAGATGAGCAATAAGGGTAAACAGTTCGATTCGATCGTTTTACTTCTAGCATACCTGCACATTTCATAAACAACCTATGTACTCGTATGGGTATTGCATATTCATATACCGAATGAAATGATATTGACCGACATTTTTAATTTTTCTCAACAAGTTACAAATCTGATATAAAGTATATCTAGTCAATTGACATTGATATTGGCTTATCAAGTTTACACCGTATTGTTAGAAATATGGCATGTCAATTGCGTGTCATTCAAGTATAGGGCAAGCTTATCAGGTTAATAAACATCGTGCATTTATTTAACTTCAACCTACATTCATATTTCTCAGCTCAGCCTACATTCCCGTACACATGTATAAACTTCCGAGACTATGGCCCTAAAGTTCGATTGGACATTAGTGTGACCAGCAAAGCGGACATTGTATCGGTAAGAACCTTATGATATCTCCTTACTCCTTTTGCTTTCACAGTAACAATACTCGAGCTTAGTTATCAGTATTCACATGTTTGAGATTATACTCAAGTGATTTCTGTCTCGAAGATATTCTTCTTCGGGCAACACTATTTCACCTGCATATCTATCCTACTACTTTGTACACATTCTATCGCATTTCATCATACATACTCAAGCCCCAAACTGAGAATGGTACCATATAATCCATTAGAATTATCGTTGTATCAGCATCAGTACATACCCCAATCCCCATTCCGATTTCACAAGCAAATCAAAAAGAAAGCAAATTCATTCATTAACAAAAATAAAATCGCAAACTAATTGTAAATCCTCTTCGAACAAATACGTTCTGACCTTGTTAATCACTTGTAAACACAAGACATGGCAACGGTCCTTGTGGGTGACTCAAAACTTTGCCTTGTGCACTCGCTATATCTCTCAACCCATTATCGTCAATGACCCCTTCCCATAACATTGCAGTCATGCCCAAAGTTGTGTAATAAGTTTCCCCCATCCTAAGTCTGGGGTGTGCTCTGATGCACTTCATGATTTCTCAAATACACGGTGCGTCAGATACACAGCATGTTTGCCCATTGCTGTTAACGATGTCACTCGATATATTGGTAAAATCTTGGAGGAAGGAGAGGAGGTGTATGGACATGGTAATGGAGATAGCATTGTATCCTACAACAGGGTAGGAAGAACATCTATCATGCATCCAAGGTTGTGAATGATGTTGAAGGTGTTGACTATATCGCTTGCAGAGTCATGAAATTTTAGATTCTCGAGTCTGTTTTGGATTTGCATGGTTTTATTTATGAATGAATGCATTTATATTCTTGAATGGCATAAGATGAGAAAGATTTCCTTGTCACGGTTATGAAGGAAATGACAATGATAGGTATCCGTTTTATAGATTTGATATGATGTATATTTTGAGTGCGTATGTACATTTTCGAAGGTGGGTAGTATGGAGAATATCGGATGATGACGCGGAGGCCGCGGCGGAGAGGTTTACGACGGCGTTAGTGGCAGGGACGAAATTAGAGGAGGAGCAGGTGCCGCGGTGCGAGAATCGTGTTGAAGATAGGGGGGGCGGTATAGTGTTAGGAGTAGATGGGGAAGGAGGGAAAAGAGGAGTTTCTTCGGTGTGGAGAGTAATTTTTCTTAATGTCGCGAGCGAGATTGTTAATTTCTCTATCGCCCTATCGCCGGTCATAGCCAGCACTCTTCCAACTAAACTATTAGTAGTAGCTACTTGATTCTTTCTGCGCCTCTCGTCTCGTGAATTTTTGTGCTGTGTAGGGAATAAGATGAAGATGAAGATGAAGATGAAGATGAAGATGAAGTTATTGATATCCCTAGCGCTTACTGTTCGTGTGAGTTTATTTATATAAGTATATAAGGTTACCTAGGTACGTAGTTCAGGTCACATGTGGAATGTGGAATGTGAATGGATATTTTTCATTTCTGTTTCGGTTTCGGTTTCTGTTTCGGTTTTGGTGTGCTGGTGGTGGTGGTTGTAGTAATGGTGATAGTAGTGCTATGTGCTATGTGCTATGTGCTATGTGCTATGTGCTATGTGCTATGTGCTATGTGCTATGTGCTATGTGCTATGTGCTATGTGCTATGTGCTATGTGCTATGTGCTATGTGCTATGTGCTATGTGCTATGTGCTATGTGCTATGTGCTATGTGCTATGTGCTATGTGCTATGTGCTATGTGCTACAAGTTATTTGTTTCATGTCATTTGCTTATTTAGATTTACTTAGCCTTTTCTTCTGTCTTTCCTGTTTTTTTTTTTTTTTTTTTTTTTTTTTCGATTGCTAATAAATGAACAAGGTAAATTATGCGTGTTTAAGTAGAGTAACTGTAGCTGTAGCTGTAGCGCAGAGGAAGTGTAATGTAGATTTAGTGAGAGAGAGAGAAGTGATATTTATTTATTTGTTATCTTTGTTTTTCTTTACTTGGGGTTGTGGGGAGATGGGGAGGATGGGGAGATTTTTTGTGAGTTGTTTTGTGGGTTGTGTATATTTTATTATATATGTTTTCTTTATTTATTTATATATATCTTTTTATTAGTAGTGCTGGAAGTGGAGTGAAGTGGAGTGAAGTTAAATGAAATCGAGTAAAGTCGAGTGAAAAGTCAAGTAAAGTCAAGTCAAGTCAAGTCAAGGTAGATAAATTTATATATATAGATAGATGACAAATTTATGTAGATATTCATATTCATATCCGTATTCACATTCTTGAGATATCCCGCGGATGAACTCAGGTAGATCAGATCCTTGATATGGAATTGGAATTAGAATTGAGATTTATGGAGGGGATTGGGGGTTCTGAGGGTCTGAGAATTTGAAAAGATGAATGTTTTGGTGGGATGTTGGGGTTGTGGGATAGAGCTTTGAGGTTGTGGGATAGAGCTGGGTGTTGGGAGGGGGAACTTTTATGTATGATTTGGAAATTGGAGGGAGATTCATGGTGATTTTCCTTATAGAAGAAGGGGATGAGTGGGTGGGGAGGATGAAGAGTGAAGTTTGAGGTGGAGGTGGATATATATACATCTTACATCCAAGTAACCATCCCAACACATCTCCAATCCCATCCCCATCTCTCCAATCAAAATCTCATCTCTCATTAACAATTCGCAGGAAATTCATAGCATGCTTTGAGAATAAATTGTATAGTAGTTATTAGTATCTACTCTAGGTATGATAGTCTATTTTTATTTCTGATTGATAGATTTTGGTTTATATAGATGTATTATAGATTTTTATTTTTTTATTAATCAATATGTGTATAATGTTATAGATAATACTTAATATGTAGAGAGTGATATATTGGTATTTGTGATTTTCATGAATGGGATCGGGAAAGCTGGGTTTTTGAGTTCAAGATGGAAGATGGAAGTTGGAAGTCGTAGTTGTGTGGTTATTTATGAGTGTATGAATGAATGAATGGATTACTGTATGTTTGTAGCAGGTATAGGAATAGTGAGGGAAGAATTATTCTGAATGTATATATATATCTTCGGTTCGTGTTGTGTATTATGTTGTGAATATAGATCTATTTCGTGATGTATGGGTATCCCATACCAGCCCATTTCCTAGGTGTAGAATTGTGAATTTGAGAAGGATGCGGGATGGAGCACCTACGATGATAGGTAGGTCCTAGATATCAATATTGTATTCTATCTAAAGGGCTAGCTATTGTACACAGATAGTAGGTAGGTCTTGAATACGGGCTACTGAAGAGCTAATCTCTTTGGTAATTCGCTCAGGGTTAGTATAGTGGATATTGAATTGAATTGAAGTTATTCATCTATGCTTATATAAGAATTGTTGGATGTGGAGATGTGATATGAGATAATATAAATAGAAAACTCTAGGTATAAGAATAATAATATTGTAGTTAGAAAGCTATATTTATCTCTTCAGTTTTTTATAACTATTTTCCTAATTCATCTTCTCTATCACATAACATCTATTTATATCTCTATATAACTCCGAAATATACTCAAATTACATATCAACTTTTCGTCCTCAATTTCGCACATCTCTCCTCGTTGAATCTGAGGACTTGTTCTCTTCTACATAGTAGCTAGCTGGAAATATGTAGGTACTTCAATCAAATATATGATGCAATTTCGCTTCGATGCTTTCGCTAAGTATCGGGCTTTAGAGTGGATATTGATATTCGTTCATGGGATAATGGGATTTCACATCTATTACTGACGTTCTACTAAACAATCACTTTTCTTCTAACAATAGAAACGCTAATATATTCACCAGCGACTATATATCCAGAAACAGAATCTTTATATCTAACTCCCACTTCCCCTTCCACTCCCATTCCCATTCCCAAACACTAAATCTTCAAACAACACATCCAACTCATATCCTCCCTATTTCTTCCAGATTTTCCTGCTCAAAGCCACCAGTAGATACCCCATGCTTGAAATCCAGAGAAGTACTTCCATTCCCATTCCATTCCCACACCAATACGCATTTCCACCACCCTCCCAAACCATCCTCTCCTATCAACTTACCAATCTCTCCTAGCTAGATATTCACATCATTTATCTGCGCTATATACATATTCCCACGCATCAGGTAACTCCACATCTACCGTACGAGTATATCCGGCACAGATTTTCAATTTTCTCTAGCCCCTTTCGGTGACCGCTAATCTACTCGTCGTATCCCGGTAGGTAGTGTTAAGATTGATATGATATGATATGATCGATTCGTATGGCTCACGAAGTTGGGAATATCAGGCACTTTTAGCGTTTTCTTTGGTACTACTCAAACCTCCTCCTGCGCATTCTCTCTGCTCGACTATCCATGGTTAACGTTATCCCAGTTCGTATGGTTGTCTTGATTCTTATTGTATCCCGACTCATATTGTGCCTTAATCTATATTATTATTCCATTGCATTTTATCATTCCAACTTTTGTTGTTGTCTCAATCTAATATACTATTATCTCAATCTCTATCATCATCCCAATACCTCCCAACATCCCAATTTACATGATTGTCGCAAGACGTATCAATCATTATTCCATTTTATATTATTATCCTAAGTTATATCAATAATCTATGCTATTATAATTCTATTTTATGTTATTTTTTCAATCCATTCTATTATTCTAATTAATATCACCCTCTCATCTCATCTCATCTCAACCCAACCCAAACTATTCCCCAACTCACATCAACATCCCAATTAACAACCATTTTCCAATCCATTCTATCATCCCAATTAACATTACCATCTCATCGCATCTCAACCCAAATCATTATTCCCATTCATATCATTCCATTATTCCAACATACATCATCATCCTACTTGATATTATTATTCCAATACTAACTAACTTATGTCAAATCCCAATACACATCAATATTCGGATTTATATTATCCAACCACTCTCCTACCTTCATATCTCACCACACAACCATATGATTATCCCACCGCAGAGATTCCATACCATATCCTCCCTTCCCTACAAACTCAACATTCCATTCCAATCCCAAAGTATGAAAACACAGAATAGACAAGATAGCACACGAGACAAGAAACCCAAAGTAAAATCATAGTAATCGATATAATATAATCAAAAATCATCAATTCATAAACTTCATAACTACCATACACATCTCAATCTAACCTAAAATCCACAAAAAATCATGAGTTGAGAAGACTTGATTGATTGTTCGAGATACTTTTTCAAAAAGGATTGTCTATCCTAACAAACTGCTCCAAAATCTCTAAAATTTGTTCAGGGAAGAAGAATGAATCAAAGGGCTCGCCTTGCGAGAACGAAGGTTATGTATGTTTATGTTTGTATGTTCCTCCACACCATCCACCACTAGCATCCCTACGATGCAGAGTCACCAGCTTACTGCACCCAGAGACAATACTCACTAGACACCAGTCTAATTCCTCTGCACATGTCTATGCACATGTCTCGATTTTCTCTTGCTCGCGCCACTCTTAGAATAAACACTCAACGCCAACGAACCCCCACAAATCTCATTTGCATCTCCCTCGCACGCCATGGCACACTTACTTGCATCGACTGTCTGGCTTGGTAAGCTTTGTCCACAGAAACACTGTCCTCCATATTCTGTTCCCGCAACACTATATCCCTTTTCTTCACAGTATGCCACACACGCTGAGTTGGACACAGCAGCTTTACCCACATCTGCAAATGTGACGCCAGAAAGCGCGCGGTTTGTTTCTTGATCTGCATAACAACCAGCATATGAGTATCCGGAGATAGTAGCCGGAGTGCTAGAAGAGACGCTAGAGCCGGTGGGAAGAGCTTGTCCTGCGGTAACTGAGACGGTTTTGTAGATGAGTGTGGAAGCGTGGACGGTGACGATGGATGTGAAGACTTGACCTCCGGATGTGATGACGCTGGAAGATACGACTTCGCTGGCAGCTGATGATGCAGCTGCGACCTTTGTGGAAGCGCCGCTGCGGGTGTGGCTTTGAGAATGTTGGGATGAGGCGGAAGTTGGTGTTTGGTAGAGGGGGAGAGATATGCTTGGGATGGAAATACTTGCTGCTGATGTGGCAACTCCTAGGACAGATGATGCGACATTGGATACCGAAGCAGCGACTGATGAAGCACCAGCTACAACTGAAGAAACAGCTGAGGAAGCACCAACAGCTACTGAAGAAGCTTGGTAAGCAATACCAGAGGTAGCAGATGCGACGACGGAAGAAGCTACACTGGCAACAGCAGAACCCCATTTTCCGATAGGATTACTACCTGGTAACACAGACATGGTACCGGTGACAATTTCATCGATTGGTGATTTGATAGTGCAAGATGTGGTTGGATCGTTGAGACCACCGATGAGACCTGGACATTTATCCATACCGCTATCGCCTGCGTCGCAGTTATCGATGATTTGTTGAAGAGTTTCTACGTCCCAACCCGAGATCTATGAATTTGTTAGTATATTGAATAGGTTTTGCTTGAGAAGATATCAACTTACAAAGTCAGCATGGAATCCATAACCAGTTGGATCTCCATTAGCAAGAACAAAAGGTTGTTTGCCTTGACCTGGCGTCCATTGACTTGCAAAGAGAGGAGTGTTGTAATAAACCTCATAGAAAATATGAGGAGTATGAATCCAGCCCTCAGGACAATTTCCCTTGGTAGGCCAATCCATGTTTGTCTTGTAATCAGTCAATCCCGCAGCAGGATTATAGCATGAAGGAAAGTGAGCATCGAGACGCATTGGTGAAGCGAATCCATTACAATCTTGATCTGGAAATCCAACACCTGCTCCCTTGTTTTGCGGGTCCTGAATTCCTACTCCGTGTAATCCGTCCGAGTCGGCGGGGTAAGATGGAGTATCGTAGTTGGTACGTGGACAGGTAACTTGGATTGGTTGAGGTGTTCCGAGCGAATAATCGACGATGGATCCTCCGCCTCCTGCTGGTGGAGTACGGAGAGCTGCATTTCCAACTAGCATTCGGTGACCTGGTTGGAAAGCGGTGATTTTGTCGGTTGTGGGCTCGAAGCTTTTGAGATATTAGTATGTCTATTATCGAAATGTAAAAAGTCCGTCACTTACAAGTAGTAAACGTTCATATAGAACATAGGTACAGCTGTAATATTGGTAGGATCGTTTGGATTGACAAAATACAAGGAGGGGGTCCAATAATTGCTCTTATCATTCTTGACAAGGGAGGAAGTGCAGTTAGAATCATCCAAAGCAGTGGTATCCCCCATAGTCATGCCAAAAGCACTTCCTCCTTGGATCGTATGAACGTGTGTTCCAACGGTTCCTGGGTTGACAATTGGGTCTATACGGGCGGTAAGAAGAGGTTCTGTTCCATAGAAGTGGTTGACAGCGAAAGTTCTTGCAGTTGCAGAGTATGCAGTGGCCGAAGCGGCGAATGTGCCCACGAGGGCCAATTTTGAGAAAACCATAATGACAGAGTGCGTGTAGATGAGGAGTTTGATTGTAGAATATGTACTTTGAAATGTATTCAAGTCTGATGGTGCTGGTATTTGTAAAGCGACTGTTTTGAAAGCTGAAGGATCGTTGAAAAGTGAATGAAAAACACAAGAGTGACTGGCCTCAATTGGTGTTTGATGGAATAGAAGATTCTGTATCAACAGAGGAGCAAATGAAGGAACGAACAGCACGCAGAGAATGAATAAATGAATGTGGTGTACGAAAGTACGAAAGTGTGTTGAGGAGAAAGTTCAAAAGAGGGTGAGGAAAAGAAGTATGATACAGAAAAGTACGGAATCTTATATTATATGACCATGACCTGTAGTCTCTTACAATATGCAGTGTTACCCGCCTCAACGCGGGAAACCATGTGAATATACGCTAGTACATGTATGAAGGAAGATTAAGGTAAAAGAGACTCAGCCCAGAATCGTGATGCAGGGGAAACTAGATAGAGGGACACGGTTCGATTTTCCCCATGTCTGATTCCTATTCGCTACCCAAGAATTAAAGAATTAAAGTGAAATGTTCCAACATGACAGGTCAGTAAATGAAACGTTTGGTAGGGAGTGTGAGAAAGAAAGAGATCCGGGCGGAAAGGTGCTCCAAGTGAATAGGTACTAGGTAGCTATGGAGGGAGGAGGCCATATTGTAATGTTAATAAGGGTGGTCGAATCGTCGGGAATGGGAAATTTGTTGGTCTCTTGTTCCTGACGTCCGGATGAACCATCCGATTACATGGATCTTGTCAATCTTGCCATTGGGGGCTATCTGAGTGAAAAGATATCGAGAAGGGGCAAACAGTTTGCAAGGGCATCAAATCCAGATCCCTTTGAAATATCCCAGTCATTTCTATACCCCATTGACAAAAACGCGATGTCCATTCTCTTAACTAACTCGGCTACTTGGCGTTTAGTTTACTGTTTTGAAACGGCAAACCCAGTCGAGAAGTCTAGATTCATTGGTTCCCATACAAACACAGGAAAAACACTCACCAATCAACCATCTCATCCAAGGGGTAGACCTTTCTTTTCTAGGGGGGAAAGGGCGCTTTTAATTTAACCTCATGAAAATCTAGTGGATAAAATGATCTGCTCTTAAGCTTTGGAAGTTTCGAAATATGTCCTATCCCATATCATTCTTATTGTATTTAGACTACCAACCAAATACACATTCATCGGATTTTCGAATTTAGAGTTGATTTGTCAAATGGGATAGAGTGGTACTGCACGTCATGAAAATCATTTAAATTGTCCGACTGTGGAAGTGAATCTCTTTATCTTGAAAACAGGAGATGATTCACATTCTCGTGGTCTACCATATCAGACTAGAAAATCATTGTGATATACCAATTAATTACAATTTTAAATCATCATCTTCTCTTGAATCCGCTTCGACTCACGGCCTTGAGAAATGGCCGTCCGATAAGAACAAGGTCCGCACATCTACCTACCTAGCCTACTTAGGTACTTAAGTATGCAAAGCAATCAATCAAAATTCAGACGAACCAACAAAAAGAAATCTCATTGGCATCTGGCACTTCCTGTCTGTCCCTGAAATAGATCTTAAATTCAATTGATCAATCATCTACTTTAAAGTTTCCCTGAGAAAATCCTCTGAATAACCTTTGATCCTTTCAGCGTGACATTAGGAGTATACGATAACCATTGTAACGATGTCGATGTTTTTTTCTCATTCTCATGTTAATAAGCCTCGATGAAATCATGATAAGGATCATACCATCGTGCCGAAGCTTGGCTGGGTTATGGCCGAAATGAGCTTCTTGATCCTTTTGCTTCTGGGCAGGTGTGATTTGAATGTGGCGGGTGTTTCCATAATTGGGATGCACTACACATGTGAACAACAATTACAAGCACATCAAGTTCAAAAACACAGCATTTCACATGGGACAACCTTCAATCAACGATAGGCTTTCTCAATACCTTATCGAGGGATCCGTGGATAACATTAATTATGTGCAGTATCGTTGAGCTTCGACATGACCAAAGAACAGCTCCAAACAAATGTCCGTGAAGCGTTACAATAATCGGCGGCAAGGACACTATCTGATATTAGCCCCTCACTCCAACATATGTACGTGTGGTCATGATGTAAAAGGGCGGCAATCATCTTTCTTTGGTCAGCCGCTCACTCTCAACTATTCGATTGATTCAGATTCCTACGGACTCAGGAACAGCTCGGTGATAACATCAGCGTCAACAACTCAGTGGCACGAACAAGGAACTGGTGGAATTAATTTCAATAGAATACCAGTATGTTTTCTCCATTGGTTTTCCAACCATGCCCTTGACTTGTACCTGAATCGTTCTCCTGCATGATGCAGTGTCGTGCCGTTGTGCAATGTTACATCCTCAAGCACACGCGTCTGCGGTGAGTTGAAGAAAATAGACATCAGCGCAAAGATGGCTTCACCTCCAATCCTACTTCGGAGAAAAAGATAAGATGCTAAACAAATTTTGATGCTATGATCTGTACCTAAGTGGGCATGTGGAAATTACTTCATGGGGAGATCGACGAATAAATCGCTCAGACCTTTCTGGACTTGTAAGGCTTACTCCATAAACTATCTGTTCACAGAACTTCTCATGCAGCTAACTACTTACACTGTCAGAATCTCTCATCGTCTCATGATTCTCACCTGATACCCTTGAAGGTAAAGTCTTAACGTACTGCCAAGCCAAAAACAAAATAAGGAAACACGCAATTAATCAATGTTGTGTTCCCCGATCGAATATTCACGAATAGAAATAAGAATTCGTGGCGAGTGCCAACAACTTGAGCTCATCTCCGCCATCGTGGTTTCGTGGTAAGAAGCCGTAAGACTCCCGTTCCCGCGCTCTATTCGAAACACTCTCGGAGACTTTTAGGTCCAATGATTGTAAAATTTGTCAGACGCCCAGATAGAGTACATGTGATGGCACTTGAGTATGTATCTTGTACCAAATCACTGGAATTTAGTGTGATACGCTCACACCTCGTGAAGCATTGGCTGCGGGAGAAGGAGAGACGGCAATGGGTGGGGGGTTATGATTAGGTGAGGGATCAATTGAACTTTCAACTGTTCTTCCAATCGATGAAGGATAGCAGTTTTGGTTCCAATGTTTTAGCCCAACGGTAATGAAGAATTGGATTCTTAATATGAAGTACTTGAATACCATCAAGTTTATATTTCACCAAAATGAAGGCTTCAAAGCCCGAGCTTGTCCTATAAAAATGACTGATCTGGTAGATACACCAATATAAGGATGAAAGGTTGAATGACAATCACTGAAGCGATAAGGTTAAGCGATAAGAGAATTTCTTTTTCCCAAGTGCCCCTCCACCCATCACTACCCCTCTATCTACTCGTATATTTTGATAATTAACCTCACCTCATCACCTCATCACCTCATCACCGCCACTCCAACCTACCACGAATTCCACTACCCTCTTTCAACACGACCTCGGAATTCTCTCATCATGTCGCCAATCCCTATAACTATCCTTACCGGCTTCCTCGGCTCAGGGAAAACAACGTTAATCCTCAACCTTCTCCCACAACTACACGCCCTCAACCCCTCCTACCGTCTCGCTCTTCTCAAAAATGAATTTGGGGATCTAGCTGTCGACTCGCAACTGGCTTCTTCATCTTCTATAACTTCTGTGCGGGAAATGCTCAACGGATGTATATGTTGTAATCTCGTCGGTTCTCTATCTTCGGCGCTTCAAGAACTGCAGGAAAGTTTACCAGTCAAAGTCAATGAAGCAACTGGGGAGGAAGAGAAGGGGAGTTTGGATAGAATTATAATTGAAACATCTGGGTCGGCTTTTCCTGCTACGTTAGCCATGGAAGTAAATAGAATTGCGAGGGAAACAAAGGGGGCTTATGTATTGGATGGTGTGATTTCGGTGATTGATGTGGAGAATTGGAAGGGGTATGAAGATACGAGTTATACGGCGAGATTACAGGCGAAATATACAGATTTGGTGGTTTTTAATAAGTGGGAGGGGGTTAGTGAGAGAAGGTTCGATGAATGTCTGGACAGGTTAGGGGATTTGGAAGTTCAGGTCGCTTGGGTCAAGAGTGATAGGGGATCAGTGGGAGTAGATGTTGTGTGCGGAGTTGACGGGGGACTGGCTAGGGGGTTGGTTGATGATGTTGATGGAAAGGAAAATGGTCATAGTCATGATCATAAGAATGGCGATCAGAAACACGAACACTCTCACGACCATCAATCCGAAGTCGAAGTCCTATCCATAACCCTCACATCATCTTCTCCATCCTCAGCAATATCTCTCGCTCCCTCACAAACTCCTCACCAAAGCACCCAAAGATGAAGTATACCGCATCAAGGCAGTTTTATCCTCAAGTTCTCCTATTCCACCTTCCGATTCTTCTCTCTCGCCGCCCGAATCCGACGTCTCTGCATCCTCATCCTCATCAAATTCTACTTCTGATCTAACACCAAAACCTGCAAAGTACATACTCAACTGGGCTTTTGGTCGTTGGACAAGCACAAAAATGGAAGAACAGCAATTGGAGAAGGAACATGAGAGTAGCCAAGGAGAAGGCGTAGTACTGAGAATGACGATTGTGACGGCGAGAGATGAGAGCAACAAGTGGAAAAAGAGAATTGAAGGAGGTGGTTGGGTGGAGGTTGATGGTGGAGAGGGACAATTGAACGTTGTGAGAATTTTGTGATGATTGAAAGATTGAATAGAGATCTGTAAGAGGATAGACGAAGTGTGAAAATTGGGATACGTGATGCATAGATACCTTGATACAGTTTTAGAAAGAGACAATATTTATACCTAGTATATATATACATAGTTTTGGGTAGAAAAAAGCAAGACGGAATGATAAAATGAGTGCGCGGTTGATCTGGGTACTGAATCATCAAATGCTTGGTTATGCAAGTGCACGTAATTCCAAACTTGACAGCTCTTAATATCTAGTTTTCCAACCTTTTGAAGTTATGAGTTGATTGATTTATGGATATGATATCTTTTCCCCAAGAGTAATTGGATGTTCATGGCTGGTTAAGTTACTAAACCAGTATCTTCAGCCATAGCCACTTAGATATATATACCCAAACAACCTCGCTTCCTCCATATCAAATGATGTCTTAGTGGTGCAGTGTCAAGCAATTGTTCGCTCACCCGCATTCCCTTGAGGAATACGTTAGGATTTGGAATGCATCGGGATTGAATCCATCAGGATTTAGCACTGGTGTAGCGACCAGAAAGGTCCAGAGCTCTGGTTGAGATATGTATGTCTTTTTTGCTGTTTTTTTATATTCTATTCTAATGCATGTACTTTCTCACAAGTCGGCCAATACTACAATACTACAACAGTAATTACCCTTTTTCTTCTTTTTGCACTTTCAGAGATACCCACGCTGATATATATGGGGGCACAAGAAAAAGGAACCACTTTTTCATTGGAGAGTCATGTTGCAATTCACTCTCCTTAATGAAAGCGAGAAAAGATGCCTATTATTTCTGTCTGATCTTGTCATGTGGAGCCAATACCCCTCTCCCAGCTTTCTCCATCCTCCACTCCTCATTTCCACTCATTATACAATGTATGATTCGATTTTTCGTTTGTCTTCTGAGCTTCTTCAAATCTATGTAACATTACTGTTACATCTATCTCGGTGTATCAATCACGAATCAAGGATCTCGCAACCCTATTGAAAGATCTCGATGGCGCGGTAGAAGAGATACATCAAATACAAGCTAATTTGACAAGTTTTGGAGTAGAAGAATTGGATGTTAAGCTGAAGAAGCAGTTGGAGAATTCGCTTTGTGAATGGAGCTTGGCTCGGGATGATCAGACTGGGAGAGCAGAGTTGGGACTTGGTGAGCCACTGGATACAATACGTATGTACTCCAGATCTGTAATATCAATCAGTATATTTTTCAGAAAACTACATCATTAAAGTGGATTATCTTCTATGGTCGAACTCGTCGAACTCATCGAAACACCTTCCAGAATCCGAACAAGAAGGATCGACGTCTCCTCGCAGCACCAAACAAAAACACAGAGAGGATAAGGCCCATGAGCAGAAGAGCCCCGTCGATAAGATGAATTCATATGTTTTATTCCTTCCGCACCCTGAAAATCCTAAACGTCCCCGCAGCCATCCCTGCCAGCCTCCTTTCACCCGCATCTCCAAGTCCAAACTCAGGTCCTTCTCAGCATTATTCGGCGACCTCCTGGAGCAAAAGCAGAATGGCCAGCTCGGAGATGATGATGCCAATATCGTTTATGATGCAACTACGAATCATCAACCAAGAAAATGCATCGAGAATCAGGTAATTTACACAAGTGGTCTGATTCATTCGTATTACTCAAGTTTTTTGGATGGTCACGATGAGCCTTCTGCGCTTTCCGATGATAGAGTTTGGAACGCTTTCAAAAATGGTTTGGGATTGGTGGAGGAAGGATCGGATGGGGGATTGCTATCAAAGAGGGAGCGGATGGATCTTAATTTGTGGGTGGAGTATACGAATGTTTGACAGTGGTCTCGAAGATGAGTCGAGGAGATTGAAGGAGGGGAGGGCGAGGAGTTAGATGACCTGAACTTGAGATTCTATGGAGTTTGAGTAGCGAGATGGTGGTTGATGATTCATTAATTGGTGTAGATAGAGATTAGTTGGATGAATAGAAAGTATGTCAATTGTAGCGCATGATCACTCAGGATCTCGATTCCTAGCTTCATTATTTCGCATCTTCACAATGAGGGTACATTTAGACACGATACTATCATTGATATAACAGTTGATCAGAGAAAAATCAATTACTCGCATTAGATTCATAATTTCAGTAGCAGTGAATGAGGCTGAAGTACGTGTTTATTAACATATCAAATCATACACAGTACTGAAGATCGCAGGTGGTTAGGGCGAAGTCAAGAGTGCGGTAGAAAGGCTAGGAGGCGGGGTAGACCTTGTAGCGTGTGTGGAGAATGGAGACTCTTTCCAAACTCCAGTTACTCTAGTAATGCTCTTCCAGGGTTATTAATGACGTCTGCTCGGGATCTCTGAGACCCTGATTGTTGTACTTTTCTAATATGTGAGCTTTTAGGAGGTACCAACTGATACTTCAATAGTAGATAATTCACTTGTACATATCCCCCTTTTTTCTCAGAGGTCTGTGTTGATAGGTATTTAAAGCTTCCCAACCTGAACCTCATCACTACTTCAATTCAATTCTGCCACTTTGCCGTTTCGAACTTTGAATTCCTAAATGTCACATTTCCCAACGATCTTCGAGGGGATGAAGAGTGAGACAAGAGAGGAGAATTTAAAACTCGGAGAAGAAAGATTGGAAAGTATGTATACCCATTAAAATTTGGGATCATGACGGTGAAGGTTCAACAAGTAACTTCTTGTTTCCATTTCTTTTCCTTCAAATCACTGACATTGAGGTGTTTATTCACAGGAAGAGAATCTCACGATCGATTTGAAATGGCATCCAGATCATCCTCCGAATCAGAGGTGTCCTGCGAACATTCGGAAACTGCTTTATCGCCTCCCCATGTGAAATCTCGACTCGCAGGCTATCTCGAAGGCGAACTTCGCGATTTCCCCGGCGGAGATGAAATTACCACTGAAAGCGTTCCGCAATGGACGTGGCCGCGATCAGCATGTCGTCTTTGGATTTTCCTCATGGTTCTGCAGAAATGCGAACGTGGCACCATCATCGCGTACGAAACGGCACGCAAGTTTCATGGGTTCGGTCCGGCGTTGTATATTATGTTTAAGAGCGAGTGGCGTAGCTTGCTTCATGATAGTCCGGAGGATAGTATGACAATTTACTATCATTTGCTTGCGATGAGGAATGAGAAGGGTGCGGTACCGCCGGCGTTTGAGATTTCACATTGTTGTTGAGAGGGGAGAGGAGAGGAGGGGATTCGGGTGTGAGAAGGGCAAAAATGCGAGGAAGGCAAAGGTGTGGGAGGATCAAACTTTCAAGAGGATCAACGTTTCGAACAATGCAAACAGAGTGGAATGAATGAGGAATTCGGACATCATATTGATTTTATGCTATACCTGGCGAGCACTTTCTAATAATCTAGATATACCCAACATCAAGATGTGAAGACATTTTGATCAATCCAATCTCTTCGCGATTCAATGTTGATATATAACGTCGTTCTTTTTCATGTGATTTCCTTTCGACCCCTACAACCTCATCTCAACGAATCGCAGATCTATCGATCCGATAACCTCGGTAACCTTACTTCCCCACAGAACCCCTGATCTTGTTTACTAGGTACTCCACAACGACCTTATCCGTCTTACCCCATATTATCTATCTTTTTACCATGTTTCACTTCCATTATGTTCATCTTCTCCACACATCTATTTCCCCATATCAATTGCCAAGGTCTTCTATATCTATGTACCCCCCCTTGAGTTTCACCAAATCTAAAACTCGGTACCATAAGTTGTAATCTCACAAACACATATCACGAAAACACAAAAATCAATACACAATGGCGACTCAAGGTCCAATAACCACTCCCCTAACCACTTTACTCGGTATCAAACATCCTATAATTCTCGCCGGCATGGCTCGTACATCCGGCGGTCCACTTGCAGCTGCAGTCAGTAATGCAGGTGGATTGGGTTGTATAGGAGGATTAGGATACACACCTCAACAGTACATCCCTCTCCCTCTTTCTTTCATAAACCTCACTAACACCCCAGACTCCGCGAGATAATCCACTCCCTCAAAGCCAATCTATCAGACCCCTCTCTTCCCTTTGGGGTCGATCTCGCTCTCCCCAAAGTAGGCGAAGGCGCTCGCGCCACAAACCATGATTATACCCACGGCCAACTCGATGCGCTTATCGACGTGACCATCGAAGAAGGCGCACGACTCTTCATTTCCGCGGTTGGGATCCCGCCGCCACATGTCATTAAGCGATTACACGATGCTGGGATTCTCGTGATGAATATGGTTGGGGCTCCGAAACATGCTGTGAAAGCTTTAGATGCGGGGGTGGATATTGTGTGTGCGCAGGGAGGAGAGGGCGGCGGACACACGGGGGATATCCCGAATAGTATTTTGATACCGGCGGTGGTGGATGTGACGCGGAGATATCAACCCGCGATGTTGAAGGGGGAGACGGCGTTGGTTGTTGCGGCGGGAGGGATTTATAATGGGAGGGGGTTAGCGAGTAGTTTGATGCAGGGGGCGTGTGGGGTGTGGGTGGGAACGAGATTTGTGGCGAGTGAGGAGGCGGGGTGTAGTAGGATTCATAAGGAAGAGGTGGTTAGTGCGAGGTTTGAGGATACGTTGAGGACGTTGGTTGTGTCGGGGAGACCGTTGAGAGTTAAGATGAATGATGTGAGATTTCCTTTTTTTTTGTTATCACTTTCCCGCCTCCCTTTTTCCTTCTCATTCATCCTCATCATCACAATCTCCTTGATTTATCGATCAGCAAGTTACTTATTATACTAACACTTCTCCCCGTCGTTCTAGTACATACAAGCCTGGGAATCCCAACCGGCCAAAATCCAAGAATTAACTCAGAAAGGTATCACGCCGCTCGAATACGATATGGAACAGAGCAAAGATGTAGATATTCCGCATTTGATGGGGGTGGTGGCGGGGGTTATTGAAGATATCAAACCGGCGGGTGTGATTGTGGATGAGATGGTTGGGGAGGCGGTGGAGATGTTGCGGAAGGCGGATGGGTTTTGAGTGCGGGGGTGGGGAATGCGGGGAAGAGTAAATTGTGAGCGAGGGGTGTTTGGGTTTAGGGGAAAGAATGGAGAGGACTGGAGATGGGAATTGTATAATTCTGGGGCTTTGATGAGATTTTGGTTGGGGTGAGAGTAGGGTATAGTGCACAGGTGATCTAGGGCTGCGCTTGGGAGATTTAGGTACTGAGTACTACCTACCTATCCATGGACGTAGATAGATATGCTCTTCCGCCGAATCGGGGTTTAATATGCTCAATTCAATATCCCGGTCGAAAGATTGAAGAATAACAATACCTACCTATTCAGATGATAGGATTTTCACACCAACAAGCTAACTAACACTCACTACACCACGCTCCACCACATAACATACTAACACAATATTCTCGGAAAGCGTGTATCATTCAGTAATCGCTCCATGAAACTACCTATCCATATATCTTGATATCCTATCCTATCCTATCCTATCCCATCTCATCTCCAATCCCAGTTCCCTCACATACTTCATACTCCAAACCCCCAAAAAGCACATTACATTACATTACCACCTCCAAACAAACTAGGTAACCCCATCCAAACTCCTGTCTGTGATGATCACATCATATGATATAATATTATATCATATGAATCACATCATCGAATGAATACCCCGAGTCATCAATCATCCAAGTATAGCGAGCACTTCGCATATGCTTATTTTCTGTCTCTGTCTCTGGTAACGTCTGTCTGCCTATTCTGACATTTATCGATTATCAACTATCAATTGTTGTTTGTAATCTGTATTCTGTCACCTGCCTGTCATCTGTAGTAGGAGATCTAACTAGTGATAATCCACTTGTCCTTGCCTCCCTCCTAGTCCGCGATTTTCATTCCAGCTCGTTTGGCTCATGATCATCGTCATCGGAGTTCCGCCTGCTATGCTGAGTTGTGCAAATGGATCTTAATAGTATGTTTTGCATGAGATTAGAATTTCGGAGGGCATTGCTGTAGTCTACCAGTCCGTTCAACTCAATACAACATCTTCGGGAGCTGTAGCTTGGAGCCTGAATCCTTCATGCCCTTCTCATTTGATACTGACGAGAAAACTATGACTCCCCGTGCGCAGTACGTACAATGAATTTTCCTTTCTTTGAGAAACCTCTATGCTTCTGAAAGACGAAGATTGTGCGTAATGCCTGGTGTCAATCCCAGGCTTGGGGTACGAACAAGCCTGGTTTGGTGACGGCAAATCACCAAAACGGTAGGTAAATCTGCCGAATTTGAACTTTTCGTCATTGCTGTCTCAGAGACTTCTTCAAGGTTGGTCATGTAACGCGTTTGATCGAATGCCATCAACCAAAGTTCGGTAGTCTCGCAGGGACAAAGTTATTTTCTTTGTCGTCATCAATATTCTTTCTTTCCGTGGTATCTTCCTCAACTTGTGATTCCGATTGAGCTGGAGGTAGTTTGGTGGCTTGTACTACCTCAATTGCTTCGGGTGAAGTTGGCTCATCTTCTACTCCTTCTATATCTTGCTTTGGCTCTGATGAAATGGGTTCAGAGATACTCTCTGAATGAAGTCCTCGCTCCTGCGCTAATCGTAACGCTGCTTGCCGTTTTCTTTCTACTTCTTCATCTTCTTCTAAACGTATTCTTTCCTCTTCTAGTTGTAAATCTTCAATTGACAAGGTATTGATCAAGTCAGGTTCCGAGAGATCTGGATTACTCTGTAATGACGTCCCTGAGCCTGAGCGGACTCCTTTTGGTCGTAATGTTTGTGATGATTGTGTAGTTCGTGATGCATCCCTTGACTGCGCAGGTCTTTTGCCTTTACTACTTCGCGTTTTCCCACTACTCTTATCGTCTGTACCAGAATTTGTGTTTCGTCTTTCAAGTACCATCGCAAACTCATCACTTAAAGGTACCGCATCTTCTTCATCGCTGGGGAATAAATCCCCTCTCGATCGAAATGAATCTGAAGTTTCTCCTGAACTTTGCGTCGAACTCCTATTTCTCGTATGTCCTCTCATAAAATCCCGCACATCATCATCAAGATCGTCTCCCATTAATGCATCTGCTTCCTCTCCAACTCCATTATAATCCGATCGATGCGCTCCAGGATGTTCTTGCAGATCTGCAGCGCTGGGTTTGTATCTTAGTGTTCCACCTAACTTCCAAGGTAAACGTCCTAGAAATCCTATAGCGCTTGTACTCGGTATAATTGTAGGGTCGCCTTCTAATCCTTTCTTTCTTCCTCTTGTTCCGTAACTCATCCCTCTCTTCCTCTTTGGCGCTTCATTCACATTTCCAGAATGCGATCCACTTCCTGCCAATAACCTATCCAACTCATCATTTCCCCATCCTCCCAAAATCCCCTCATCTTCATCCCAATCGTCATAAAAATCGAAACTAAACTCTGCGCGTCCTCTTGTCCGCCCTCTTTCCCGCAATCTCCTCGCCCTTTCTTCCTGTCCCGGGAAACATTGTGCTGTACACGAATTGAAGCCGTTACCAATGGTCGAAAAGCAAGGATTTAAATAATTATGTTGAAAAGTCCATATTCCTGCCGCCGCATTTTCTGTTGCATGTTCCGCATTCTGTGAGAATTGATTCCAGGTCTGTCGGATACGAGGATCTTCGAGTAGTGGTGCCATTGTTTTACGGATAACAGATATCAATTTGCGCGAGGAGAACGACGCGGTATTTGAGGCATCCAGATGATTGTGGGTCTCAATGAAGCATTATAGTTATGCGTTGTGAATTTACTGCAAGGTGAGTTTGACATAAGTTGCTTTGTGAACATGTTCATCTGGATTGGAGGCGGGAGGCGGGAAGCGGGTATGATAGGGTAGCATTTTAAGCTAGATTGGATGAGGGATAGCGTATGTGTGATTGGATGTTACTTCGTATATTTCAGCCTTATTTACACAACTAGCAATACATCAACAACAACAACGATCATCAGAACCTCAATTATTTACTTTCTATTACATGTTGAAAATGTTGTTATTATTATGATTATTCTTGTAAAGTGTTGATACCAATAATTTCTACTCCTTTACCCCCTTGTTACTCCAATTGCTTCTCATCTATTCTGATTTGACCCTTCTAAAAACACTTCCACTCCATCCATCATCGGTGACGATGCTCTCTCGAACAAGTTTATATCCACCAATTCTGGGTAATATCTGAGCCCAAATTAACCAGTAAATAGCTCCTGCACCGAAAAATGCAATGCCCACAACACAATGAAGGTAGTATGGCAGACTCTCGTAAACATTTTGACCCTCGTCGGGTGGAACAAATGGTGCAACGACAAGGTAGACGTTCGAGAGGAGGAAGAATAGTACCACAGGCCAAGTAGCACGGAAAGGTGGAGCCCAATGTTGTGGATGGCGATCGGCTGAAAATGGTCGAGCATAAAGAATAAGCAGAGCGAGAGATACAAAGACATTTACTACCGCAAGTGGGTATGAGATAACACTGGGTGGTGTTAGTTAAACGATAGCAAGATCTTGAGGAAACGGGGACATACTTCAGAATGAAGTTGTAAGCATCTCCTGGTGGTGGAGCTAACATAATGATCACAGACACCAGCCAATGTTCAAAGAGGCCCATGAATGGTGTGTTGAAAGGCTTGTTACTTGCCCAAAGTCGGGAGAATGGCAGTATTCCTTCTCGAGCAATTTCTTGTACAACTAAGGATTGTTAGCAAGATATTCTGATGGAAGTCATATGAAGCAACCTACTTCTGCCTTGAGAGAATATGACACTGAGAACATTTCCGAACGCTGAAAGGGCAACAAAAACAGACAATACACGTTCGGCGCGGGATCCGAACATGTTTTTGAAAAATGAAGCGGCCAATATACGACCCGAAATCATGATTTCCTCCTTTGGTACGGCGGCAAAATATGCAATCTAATCTATACATCAGTATCATTCCGTGGAAGATCTCGATATCGCCAACATACGTTTGCAAGCATATATAGCACACCGACTATAGCGAGAGCTGTTGGCGCAGCCATCTTGAGTGTTCTCACTGGATTTTTGGTTTCGGAAAGCGCATAATTGGCATTGCTATAGCCGATATAACTCCAGATAACGTTATAGAGAGCTGTGACAACTCCGTAACTACACAAAGTCAGATGGAGATTTGAATTGAGGGAGGTTTCCTTACGCGCTTCCAGTCGTTCCTTCGAAGGCATTTGTAAAATTGTTTGGCTTCTCGATTCTGAGATGGCCACCAAGCGCAACAAACCCCGAGATGATGATCAGGAGAAGAATCAGAAGCTTTATAACACCCAAAAGGTTTTGAAGTCTCAATCCCCACTTCACAGAAAATCCATGAATCAAGAAAGCGGCTGTGATACAGGCCACTCCTACTCCACGCTGGTTCCATCGAGTTACTTCAACTTCGGCGGCACTTAAAATATACTCCCCGAATACCACGGAATTCGAACCCGCCCAACCGAGTAGTACTACATACATAGCATACATGCTAGTGATGAGAAACTTGGGCCTTCGGAAAACATATTCGAGGTAGTTCTTTTCGCCACCGTTTCGTGGAAGTCCGGTACCAAATTCCATATATGTCGCGAGACCAGCTGCGGCAATCAGCATACCTGCAACCCAGATAAAGAGTGCCAGCCCGACAGATCCGGAAAGAGCAACAATGGTACTTGGAGTCGAAAAAATTCCGGTTCCGATCATGCGATTGAAGATCAAGAAAATGGCTGAAATTGGACCAATTTGACGGCGCGCATCATTAGTTTGGTATGCGGATTCCTCTTCTTCTATTTCAGAGTCAGAAATTACGAGCGAAAAAAGACTAGTCGATTATTAGGATGGTTCTCTAATTGTACCTTGACTATAATCGCTTTGTGTTCCAACTCCCGTCTTGGGGCTCTCTCCAACTTGATCCGTACCCCCATATTTGGGAAGACTTGATGCGTTATTCGAATAGTCTCTCATGTTTTGGGTGTTGATTTCTGAAGAACGGGGATTCTGTCGATATCTTGGATACTATTGAAGCCCTGAATTCTATGACGCTTCGAGGGATATTGAATGGCTAAAGTACTGAAGGTTATGAATTATGCGTGAAAGGGGAATATATCGAGGTTTTTGCTAATGTTACAATGCAAGAAGGTTCAGCAAAATATCAAAAGGGAATCAGACGATTCTTAAATGTACATCAAAATATGATGAATATGGTGAGATGAAGACGTGATACTAATCCAAGCTTTTACAAGAAGTCAAGAAGAACAAATCCAGATAGTATGACGGATGTGAAGCTAGGCATGCCGTCGTGAACCGAAAGCTGTCAAAAGTTTCGGGGTCAAGTGGATTTTTATAGGTAACTCATTTCTTTCTCATTGGTTCGCCCAACATAGCATTCAATAATAGATGAAATTGGTGAGGAATTGCGAGGATTGTTAGGTAAAATTTGCGATGTCGTGATTTTGCCCAGCGGGAGCTTAATGATGATTTTCTCCGACATGCCCCACTCAGTGTACTATGCTCGAGCCATTCAAAAGAACCTTCCTCTTCCATCGATAATAACAATGGTATATCTTTCGACTCTCACAGAAAATCACGCATCTAGATCTTCTCAACTCCTTCTTCTTTTCAACCGCCACAAGACATAATGGAATCCTGATTTCTTGGCTAGGGGAACGGAACATTTGCAGCATTTATTGGAATTATTCTTACATTAGAGATTGGAAAACGGAGAGGGGTTTTTTGATGACTTCTTTCAATGTCTTCTCTCACTTGAGTGACTCAAATTTTACTTTCTCCCGTTCGTCCTTTGCCAAATAGCTGACTGTCCAGTTCCATAAGTCTTCCTGTTTACTCTCGTCATAACTATCCTTGCTCGACTTGATCTCATTTAGTCCTTCAAAGTACTTCCCCGTCGTGCCCTCAACATCAGCAGCAGTCGCAAGTCTAGCAAGTGCAGCACCTGATTCTGCGGGTGTATGTGTGTTTGGAATTGCAACCAAGCGAAGCAACCAGATCAGGTGTGGCAGAACAGAATTCCAAAGCCAATGCTCGAACATGTTTGCTTCTCTTGCTAACCCAGTGCCGGGCATGAGACCAGGATCCATTGCTGTAACGGTGATATGGCGCTCAGGGGCCCGCTCGTCGAGTTTACGCGATAGCGCGTAGGCGAATAGTACGTTACAAAGCTTAGCGGTGGTGTAACGCTTCCGGCCTGAAATTTTGATCATGGATTCTGGAGGGTGGGCGAGATCCTCTGCGGCAAGGTATTCGGGTTCAGGCATACCAGTCTTTTGTGCAGGATCGTGTGTACCGCTCGAAGTAAAAATCACGCGGGAATCAGGCGCGAGATATGGACACAAGAGGAAGAAAAGAAGTGCGTGTCCCACATGAGCAATGGCAAAGGTTGCTTCCAATCCCTCGGGTGTCATCACGAGACCGGCTGGGAATTGAAGACCGGCGTTCAAAACCAAAGCTTTGATTTGAGGTTTCGTGGAATCAGCGATCCATTTCTCAGCAAAACTTCGAACGCTTTTCGAATCGGAAAGATCGAGTGGCATGAAAATAGTATTGTCTTGATGTAGACTTTTGTTGATGGATTGGGCGGAGTTTTCTTTATCGGACCGGGAGGCAATGACGATGAGGTAGTCTGGATGTTCTTTTGCTATCTTAAGAGCAGCTTGGTAACCAAGGTTAATGGTCCCACCAGTGACGATAATGGAGTTTTTGTAAGTCATGTTCTAAGTTGTTATGCTTGGCGCTTGGTGATCTTGATGTTGTTAAAACTGTAGCAAACTGCAGCATTTGAAATCGAGGGAATGTTACCTTTTTATAATTACTCTCATAATATACGGAATGTTCAAATCTGATATCTCCATGTCTCAATGAATGGATGATAATATATTTGCGTCATATGGAACGACTTTTTGCATGTTCGCTTTGGCTTATTTCCTATATGCGGATTCGGCAGGGTTTAGATAAACCCCGAAGCCAAGGGGAATGGCTCGCTTATGGTCAGCAGATTGCAGAACCAGGGGCAGCTTTGTATTCGTGTATTTATAGATGGTCACCTGATCAGTGCATAGTTCCAACGTTATTGTCAGAACTGGTATGTTCAAAGGGATTGATTGAATGGTGTGGTTTTCTTTGTTGAAACCAGGATTGGAATTGAAATTAAAAATAGGCTTCGATAAGGTAACCTTATACGAGCATGCCCATTTTGTCGCAATGTTAGCAGCAGTGGGGGGTCAATGTCAAATCAGGTGAAAAGTCTGATTTCATGGACGAGAGCTGTAGTTAAGCATCGGTGGATGGTCAGGATAAATTGACTTGGTGATCTTTGTATCATGGATGTATATCATCGTGATAAATCTATGTAGGGCATAGCTACACGCCCAACGATTATGCGCACTGCAATTGATATCGTCATATTGTTCTAGTCAGAATCAGGTTTATTGAATCATCTGGACTAGTAGACCATATGTGACCCTTCATCACTGCCATTCTCTGAAATTTGTTCGAATTGCGAAAGGAGTTTGTTGTTGCAAATTGTCTGAACACTTTAATCGTCTTGGGGAATCAGCATCTTTCGTTGTCAGACTTTCAGTCCAGACTTTTGGGGTTCCTACTATTCACTGGCTCTAATATTGAACCCTATACATGGAATTTGTTGAGAGTTATTGAACGAGGACGCAACCAGCTTCACAATCGTATCGTTTATAGAGTCTTTCATTTACATTGCAGCATGTGGCTGTTATGTGGAGCTTGTTTTCCGTGGTACTTCCTTCCTTGCCCTTGATACAAATGGGCTTCAAGTGACAATCTTTCATTCGTATCATAAGTCATATGTAAGATGGGCATTTTGAACGACATCTAGAGATGGGAAGTTTGCAATAATCAAAGCTCTATTCTTGAAATCAATCATAATCCAACAATTCCATCTAGTCTACGCTTTTCCATCCTCCCTTCCCCTTCAAATTTAGGTCAGATTCAAATTGTAGTCACTCTCTTTATTCCGCCTCCTCTAAGAACTCTACAATTACGTCTGATCCAGGAATGAGTGATGGTCTCTGGTACCCACGGGGTGAGGTTTAATGGAAATCCTCCTGCCGCATCATCCACACCATCAATCAATAACACCTGACCAAGACCTGGTTTCCAATAGTTGGTCGCGTGTTGTCGAACCTGATCGGCCAGGTTGTCTTCGACATCTCTAGAATAACGTACGGGTGGAATGCCAATAGCAGGTGGCAAATATCGACTATAGATAAGACAGTCAATACCTGTATCATAAGACATCGTGTGGTTTGTAAAACAGAGTACAGTAGAAACATGGAGGAGAATCACTTACTCCCATGCCTTTTCCCAGGCAGATCGAATCAATGCAGGCTTGAGAGTGCGTACATTCACAGGGGTTCTTGGGGGAATGACAAGATATATATCTGGAATGCTGAAAGCGCGCATTGCAGCGTTACCAAACTGTGGGGTGTATCTTGGATCGTGATACCATCCAATGATTGCGCTCAGGATATTTCTGAAAGAAGAGAAGTCAGCAATTACCCACAAGAGGGGATCAAGCAGTTGCGGGAACTCAACCGGATGTATTGTGAAGAGATACCAAAGCGAAAAAAGGTTGACAAAGCACGACTGAAACCAAAGGCATTACATTACGTAGAAAATCAAAACTTACTCGGCTGCGTTGATATATCCGTACCCTGTTCTGCATCCTATCAGAGGAAATGCAATAGATAGAGGTGTACTCATTTGCCATTCGTGTTCATTGACTTGATCCTCATCGTTGGGATCAAAATTGCTAGGAATTCCCCTTCTGATATTCATTGCGCGCGACATTATATGAGAAACTCCTCTCCTCAAAAAGTGATCATAATTCTCCTTTCCAACTGCAATTCCAAGCGGAGGAGGTTGAAGTGTGTTATCATGAGGTTCATCAACTCTAACCGCTAGTATCATTTTCGGCATTGCTCCAGGGGCTCCAAGCGTCCCCAATTCTCCTATACACATGTAAACATTATTTACTATTTAAAAGCCTTAGCAAGTACCCGTGAGTTCTACGCACCACATAAAGACATTGTGCACCTATCTCTTAGCTCAGGACCGGTTGGTTGCGTTGCCAGTTTAGTTGCTATTTGACCAGGAGGGTCGCCATCAGGACCGCCCACCACTTCATCACCAATACGAGCTCTCCAGGCATCAGGGTCTCTTGCTGTTTTATCCAATCTCACATTACCATCAACCTGCAGTACCAATGCCTCATATGAAAGATCTAGAATTTCCGCTTCGATCAGGTGGAAGATTGGCTGCACATTAAGAACTGGTATATGTTCACGAAGTTCGTGGCCCATCGTTACGGGTGTTATATATCGATTATACAAATGAAAAGAATGTTGTAGAGAACAGAAGTTACTTGCTACATTACGATTTATTTCTCATGAAAATAAGTTCTTATATTGCCGAATGGTCAAGTCCCCTTTGTTTGGGCAGCAAGTTCACGACACTAATACATTTGCGGGGACTGTCAACTAGCACAAGATAAAGATTTTGCGAGTAGACAATTCTGTCTTTGTTCACAAAGGCACCAAACTCTTTATGTCCAATTTTTACTCGAGATGTGCATCAAGATGTAGCTGTCCTGGTGAATAAAATAACTCACGAGGCTTTTGGAAATGAAAATGCAGGCCGCAATAACCCTATTTGGTAATGAAAACAAAGTCTCCAGCTCTCCTCAAATTGATTTACTGCGGTCTCTCACGAGTATCAATGAAAGACTCTCGTATGTAACCTTACCCCCTCTCCCCCTCGCTTACGATAATATAATCGGATAATAACAACAAGGGATTATACGACACTAGATCTGAAAACCTCGGTCCCATTTATTTAGTTACCACCCCCAAATGTGATTCACTGAACTTATCGCTAAGCAATCCATCATCAATGCCTACTTGACACGTAATCAGTAAAACTTAAATTTCTGGCTACTTCCCATTCTTTTGACTAGATCCATCTTATATCGCAATTGACACCAGCCTTATTTTCCGCTGCCTGCTCAACGATCGCACAGTGAAAGATATCACGATGAATGAGTGTTGCGACTGCAGACATTTAGCTCATATTCTTGAATAAACTATGCTGCTAGCATTGAGTCCTCAGTCGCCCATCCTACATCATCCGAGTCTTCGACAAAAGAATTCGTTGCCTCGGAATCTGTAACCGGATCGCGCCCGGAAGAGATATAATGTATTTCCTTGTGAGCCGTTTCGGGATTAAGAGCACATTGACTCTCAAAGCAATCATGATCATCTGAGAATTCTGAATCCTCCGCATGTGCTTCCCTTATTTCTGACAACCTGGCAATTCTTCTGTTGCGTCTATTTTGATACGCTCTTTTCTGTCTCTCTGCCTTTCCAACTTATTCTCCCGACCTTGTCTAAGTCGTGTTTTATGTTCCTTAAGCGCCATCCGTCGTCCTTCCGCTTTAGTTCTTCTTATATGTCTTTTTATAAGCTTGAGGGAGATCGGACCATGATACATACGTTTTTTTGCCATACTGAATCCATGTGAGTCGTTCTGGAAACCAGGAATGAAGAACATGTCGAAGGCAAACTGTGGGCCTCGAGGATGGAGCAGAAAGAAATGGGAGATCAAAAAAACCTGTTTCCCATGATTCCACTGGTCGAAACTGTAGCAAATCCTTGATTCTCTTACGCATACCGAGTCCAAAAACATCGAAGACAAGTCCGTAATTAAAAACATTGGTAAGGGATATCGAAGTAGCGGTAATGTCATCTTTCTGTTGATACAGGTAGTCTAATATTTGCTTGAAGATCTCGATGAGGATATGATGCCGGGTTCCGTATTTATCGAGAAAGTTTGGGAGCCTATTGGTTCCAGAACTTGCTGTGAGGCGTTGATCCGGAGTATTTCTGCCATTACCACGAAGTGTTGTGATTAATCGAGGAATTCGCGGTAGGTTGGGCAATGGTGATACCTGTATCTCTGCGTTCACTATATTAGCTTGATTATACACGGGATCGAGAATAAGGCTTACCACGTTTGCGTCGTATTTCTTGATACTCAGGATCGTCAGATTCGTACACTATGTACTGTTCATAATCCGTTTCATCATCAGGGGTATTTACCTCCGGTTCACCCTCAAGAGATTCGGGTCGTTCATCCACGTCACCTCCTCCCTGGATGTCTTCAGCTTCGTCATCTGCATCGGCGCCATCATCACGTCCGTCTTCGACCTTAATTCTGGGCGTAACTAACAGCGATGTTAGATCATCTTCTAAGAAATGGTGGGTATTATAACTTACCGGCAAGTGATGTTTCATCCTCTGACTCGGGCTCTGCCTTGAACTCTGGCTCTTCGATATCTTGCTGCGGTGCCTGTCCATCTTCCTCCGGCTTATTAGTTCGACGCTTCTTAGCTAGTCTGGCTGACCTGCGAGCTGCTACAGGTTGTTTTCTCTTGGGTTGCATCATCGTTGATTGGTATGTAACAATCCAAAAGAAGAGTCCAGAGGTGTGACAAGGTATGTTCCCTCAAGAAGTGATGAGAGATTTAGGTTGACAGCCTAAAGCCAATCTTATCAATCGTTTCGTCTTCCTATTTCAGGTTCTGCGGGGAATGTTCTTCAAAATAGTGACGAGGGTCTGGGTATTGAAACGTATGAATATTACCACAATGCGGATCAATTTCTTGCACTGGTACATAACCCCCGAAACATATCAGATGAACGAATATACCACTTGGTCAGGGCAAGTTCAGCTAGCATTGTATTTCCATTCAATACAGCGTTGTGAACACCAACTCTAACCCAGTTTTAAAACTATATAAACAGTACCGTCTCTCAAGCCTCCCTATAGCATGGCTTTCAGCAACATGCGGATGATTTAAGAAACACTCATTAATACGGCCATCGATGAATCAAATGATGAAATCAAAATGCTACTCTAGATCTACACCGGTCACCTCTATTGATTACTCAAATTTGTTGGACGTGGAGCCACGATTACAGATCTTGTGAAGGTTATCCAAACAAAGAATGGAATAGTTGTGAGTACTCGCAGGAGAAGAGCCGTATGGAGGTAACGGATTTCTAAGTCTGATGTGAACCAAGAGATTTGAGAACCAAATCTCAATATATCCAAGAAGATCTAAATAGAAAGCCCCACGGAGTTGCGGCGAGAATTTTTCAGGTTACAGTTGACACCACTCTCAAGACATAAGGAACAAAAATCAATGCAGTGTGTCGTGGACAATTTTTTTATTTTGAATCGGTGCTCGGCAAGCTCTTCTTCTTGAATCGGCCTTGCATCCAGCATCTATACATCTTTAGTTCTTTGGCTCTATTAACCAGTAACCTTCTATCAACACCTAGATCAATGATATCGAAGCCACCCTGTTGCTCTGTCGTTGAATCTGTAGCCTGAGCATCTGACTCAGGAAGTTTACCGGTCCAGATGTTGACTAACTCGTCTTTTTCAAAGAAATATACCCGAGTTCCGTCACCTCTGATATAGAAGTTCTCCTCTAGGTAACGACCTTTTTTGAAACGCACTTGAGCAAGATCACCACGGCCGTAATCTCGAAATAGCACATCGCCACCTGGTTTGAGGATTTTGAAGACATTTTGAACGGCTCGATTCCATTGACTAGGAGAAAGTGCAGAGAAGATAAAGATCATGATACAAACATCAACACTACCCTCTTCCAATCCAGGAGGAAGGTCATCGCCAGCAGCGTCCCACACATCTGCTTGGATATTCTTGGTGTCATATGCCTCGTTCGCACGTATCACTTCCACTGCTTTCTTAGAGAAATCGCAAGCATGGATTTTTAATTCAGGATTTTGATTATGTTTTAATATTGGATAAGCAGTATTACCTGCGCCAGCACCAACTTCCAGAATGGTACAAGGTCCATAGGTTGGCTCTGTCACTTGAGAAAGAACGGGGAATTCTTGTTGGAGCCACTTTCGATCTTTGAAGAAATTGGCAGTATTGTTTTTGTAAAAGTTGTTCCACCATTTGGCGGGATCGGAATTGAATCTGCCTTGGAAAATCTGTTAGTTTTTGGTATAAACAAAAGTTCAAAAAAGTTCAGATATTAAACTACAGTCAGATAGGAGCGAAAGACATTGCTATATTTGTATCATTCAGAGGCTAGTAACTCAGATGAATTATGTTTTATCGTCATAGTAGCACTGTACCGAAAATTGGCACAGTATTCTGGGAAAAGAGAAATCGAAAACTACATACTTTTATCAAATTCCGATACAGGAGCTTCGCGCTGCTTCGCATATTGTAGTTCTGCATACTCCTTGTAAGTATCATCAGTCTCGACATGATCCCATGCATTGAACTCGAAGACGTTGTCTTTTTCACTGAGATATCGAGAACCAAATTGAAACGGATCTGATCTCTTCATGTTGTTTTCGGGATTATGAGAACGATGGGGAAGTTCGGGACGATCATTAGCCACGGATGATTCAGGATCCTGGATAGTCAAGGCTGAGATATCTTCGACAGCAACAGTACCTTCATTGCTTGGTGGAATCTCGTCTTGAGACATATTTAGCATTGAAATTGTATTGTGGTTTTGTGCAAGGAAGGAACGAAGTCGCAGTAAAGATGGAAAATTTATTCTAGATAATTATCCGTGCACGCGCTAGCATTGATTGAGAAGGCGGTAGCATATTCTGTCATAGGACTATGCCACTTACAGCTTTTGATTTAACGGCTTCCAAAAAAAAAGTTGAGCTATTGACAAGGGAGGGGAATTTGACCAATTCGAATTGTCAATGAGAGTTTTAAATAATGGTAAGTGATTTTGTGGTCGCATGGGCATCTTGATGATGAAACTTGTTCTAATAACTGTATAGAATTCAAAATCTCGAATTGCGCAAGAAAAGCTTGCTGGGCTGGAGAAAGCATCGGCACCGTTCGAGGAACAAATTCGTGAAGCTGGAAAATTTGTTGATATTGATTTGGATAAGGTCGCTACTGTTCTGGATAATCAAAAATACGAAGAGAAAGCCTTCAAGAAGAAGTGTGCGGCAGGCTCGTTTCATGGAAGAGAGGAATGGCTTCTACGGTGGCTTTTGAAGAAATTGCAGTCTCCCAAGGATAACATTGCCAGGTATATTGCTTATTACATTTGGGATTGAAGATCATAAACTAATAATGCTCCCCTAGAACCACGCCGTCATCATGGCACCTGTTCCGTTTATTGTTGAATGCGATCCCGCTCGCGAATACTGCACGCATGCTCACCGAAAAAAAGTTTATCGTAACCCTACAACAGACATTACAGGAAGCACAGGAGATCAGCGACATTGAAGATTCTAGCATGGAGGCACACAAAGATTCAACTTCAGGGTCGGACTCAGGGGGAACATCGATTATCTCGAAGAAGCGCAAACGGACCGGGGAACTAGTCACCCATACGTATCATGGTCCGGCCAAGGGCCTTCGAGCTTTAGTTATGGCGATTCACACTGCTATCAATAGTATCGTTCGATCCACCAAAGTCTCTACCTCCCAAAGAACAGCAGGGAATGGCAGAAGTCCAGCCTTTACCACGGAGTATATGCGAGCGGTCGTACGAACCACGCCTGAAGTGTCCGCCATGGTTCTAGGTTCCTGGATGTCTCTTTGCCAGATGGTTTTAAGTCAAAAAGCTGGTCTGGTTATATCATCCCAATTGATGTCCCCATTTATAGACATCTGGGACTACCGCGTGGCAGGAACTGAAGATCTTATGCAGTTTTCTCTTCATTGTTCAGAACCCTTACTAGCATTGTTAAAAGTGACGAAGGTAGATTCAGCCACACAGGATTGGAAGGATATTTTGGAGAAATTGATTGCTCGAAATATCATCATTCCTTCAAAAGCGAGCGCCGGAGAAAAGCAAGATTCTACGTTGTTACAGAGTTTGACGAGAGTCCTAGTTCTGCAAGATGTCGCAAATGCGCCTATTCTTTTTGACATTGCGATCCGGTCTCTGCAGTCTAATGGAGACCGCCGAAGAAGACCATCAGATAATGCCTGGCTTCAGACAGTATTCACAACATTAAAAGATGCCATGCCCCCAACTAAAACAGCAGCGCATAATTCTGCCATTCGCGAAATACTTCAGCGCTCCATTCAACACGAAGTGGATCTTGGCCTCCCAGAACTCAAAAGTTTAACGGCGGAGTATGTTATACCTGAGGAAAGCACGGATTGGTACCTTCTAGAAACAGTAATGAAACTCGATGCCAATGTCTTCCTCATCGCCGATAGCGACAAGAATCTATTGAACGATGTATTGGAGCGAGTTACTAACGTCTATTTCGAATCTACATGGTCCGAAAAATCTCGACATATTGTATCCGAGATTGTCGTTCCTTTGATGGATGAATTTGCTAAAGCTCGTGATCTCTCTGGATTTGTGCGCCATTGGTACTCTCAGCTTGTTAAGTTTGAGCAAACACGAAATGAAGATGCAATGTTCCCGGCGGATACCTTTTGTGCTTGGGAGGATGAAGCTCTACAGATCGAGCTTTCTAAGCTTTTGGAAAGTTCCTTAACTGTTCAACAAATAGTACATTTAGTTGATTGGCTAGCCATTGAGATCGTAAACCAACCTAACGCTATCGTTACCATTCTTGAAGCTATTGCGAATTCAATTTCCAGAGAAGATGTCGTAGATATCATCGGAACACGTTTGTACCATGTCACCTTTGATAACGGGAATCTTGGCAAATTGAATGACAGATATAGCTGGCGAGCTTGGAGGGTTTTGACTCGATCCTTCGATTGGATGCAACCTCTTCATCTGGAAGAAATTGCTGAATTATGGGAGCAGCAAGCGAGCCCTTTTGCCATATTTTCGGCCCATACGTTCGGTCAGAAAGGATTGGATAATTTGGAAATCTTTCGATGTGCATGCTCAGCATGGAATGCGGCCGAAGTTGGAACTAAATTGGAAAGTCTTTCATCACCAGTGGTTTTGCGTTGTCTTGAACAACTAGGTCCTTCTATTGGTGCTTTGATTGATCAAAAAGTGGCAAATACTGAAAAGTGGCCTATTTGCCTCAACACATTATCACGAGGCGCCCAATGGACTGCATGGTCATTTTACAGTTGCCTCTTTCTAGAATATCCCCGTGTTCTCGAACTTGGCATAAAGTTACAAGACAATGCATTCGATTTGCTGTTAAGAAATATCCTCTGGATAGCTTCTTTGGCTAAGGCCGCTACAACTGAGCATGTATGGAATTATGAAGCATTCGCTTCTTTGTGGTTCGGAGTTTTGCGTCAAGATTGTATACTCAACCATTCTAGCATCATAAGTCGATTTATCGATGTCCTACTGAGCTGTCAAACTCAAGAAGAAAATCCTCTCACTGCTACTCTTACATGTAATTATGCTGTCATCGAATCTCTAACACGACTTCCATTGGAAGTGATCAGCAAGAAGTACAGAGAACGGATTA